TAGATTAGTCGGGAAACGTTGCCCAGGGAAGATTATAAGAGGTGGTGCCAATTGGTCTGTTGCACTCACTGCAAGGACAATTATTTGCTCTTTCCTTGAGTTACATGGCTTTCCCTTCTGGCACTAATTACTCTTATTTCCCTCATTGAAGAGAAAATCCCGTCTCAAAGCATTTGAATATTCTTTGCACATTCTGAGGAGAAATAAATATATATATACGGTATATATATACAGAGTGGGCCCAAAAAAAAACCAAAGCTATCATTTTTTATAAGTTGTCAATCTGATTGTAGGTTGTCCATTTTAAGGAAATTTTGTAGACTCATAGAGTGACTCAATTAGGGTTTGTTTGCCAAGTTTCAAATAAAAATGTCGAAATTTGTGATTGGCATTTTATTTACATTCCATCACTAAAAAAGTAAGTGTTCATTTTTTCTTTCAGCTTAAAATCTTTCACAACTGACAAAAAAGAACCAAGAAAACAATCAGGACAAAAACAAATGCACAAATGCCAAGCACGAAAGTCCACAATTTGGTTCAGGGACGTTCATTTCAACTGAAAAGTTGCTCAATGTGCCCTTCATTCTGTTGAACACAAGCCTCTAGTCTGGGACACCACAGATGAATGGCTCGGTCAACAAACCTTTGAGGCAGTGCCTCCCAATCTTCCTTTGTAGCATCATGCAGGGATGGAAGTTCACGAATCCGGACCTCCCTTTCGTCCCAGCTTCAAGTTCATATCGATATTTTCGACAGCACATTTTGTCGTTGGTCATCAGAAAATAATTACAGCTCTTATAATTTTAGTGCCAGAAAGCTGAAATTTGCCATACTAAATCCAATTGTGTCACCCTGTAAGCCTGATAGTTTTAATTAAAATCGGCAGCCTACAAAGAGATTGACGACTCACCAAAAATCACAGCTTTATTTTTTTTTGGCTCACCCTGCATATATAAATCAGGAGGTATATCAGGATCCGGTCCACGTTCTACCAAGAAAAAATTATTGAGACAATCAAACCATTTCAATAAGTGCTTTTTTTTATGGATTTGGTGATAGTCCAAGACTTCGGGAGTTCGAAGAGACACACGCGGATGCCTCGAGAGGAACCTTCTGTGAAAGGACTCTCGGAGGTCTCAGAGGTCTACTTAAGGCATGTCCCCTCACTCATCACCATCCAGAATTCGCTTGCATGAATCCAGCATCCAGTCCATGCGAAGTCCATAAGCCAACTTGGGCATGTGGATAACAATAACAAAATGTCATCTTTCTTCATCGAAGTGAACACAGTGGGCGAACCAGGTCGTAAGATCGCCCCTGAACGCCTTCCAGCTATCTCATTAAATAGGGTGACCCGAGGAATACCACGCGAGCTTTGTTATCCCCATGTGCAATTCGATGTACTGCGTTCCTTACATCTTCAGCATTTCCCCCCCCCCATCTTTCTTTTTCTTCTTCTTCACCCCAGGCATGAACCACAAAGAATTGAATTGATAAGGTGGATGCACAACGTCATTTACCATCCATTTCCTTCCTTTCCTGTCGCTGCAACCTTCGATGAGAGAAAATGTTATATCCTCATGACTTCAAGAAATACCTATCGAATAAGGTCAACTTGACCTCAACTGGGAAACATTTTCAGCTCCTTGAAACATTCCTCAACTGCAAAACTAAGATACTGAACACCAGGATATCAAGACCTTCCAAATTCTTAAGCATTCAAATGAACTGTACTTGTTTCCCTGTGGCTTACCTTCGGAACAGTGCCTCTTTCTGAATGTTTGGTTTCTCTAGGACATTTCATTTTTCCAATCTGGCGTGAACGAAGATGTTCCTATTGTGGGAAAAGAGGCAAAGAGCGGCCGCAGATCCATTCGGACGAGAAAACTGAATGCGATCGCGGCATCCCTGAATTAGTGCTTTCAATGACAGGCTATAGCCTTTCACATCGTTTTCATCATAGTTTAGTATCCTAGAACTATTAAAGCATCGATATATTTTTTGCAAATGAAAGAAAAAGATAAGCAACGGCTGGTTGTTGAACGTGGGTTTTAGCTATGAGAGGCACTTGACTGGCTCAACAGGCATGTGGATCCGCATGCAGCCATTTGTGGTCCTATTCATGCACGAAAGAACTTCCATGTTGACGCATGCGCTCTTGGCAGACATTGATTCGTATCATCGTTTCTCACATGCCTTGCTCGTATGCCTTGCGCGTATGAGTTGACGGTGCCGCGAATACCCACTGACACCATATTACGTGAGCTTTGACTGCTTTTCATCAACGGATAACTCAGTTTGTGGAGCCTCAAAGTATAGGAGGCCTTTGCATTAAACATCTGGAAATGAGGATTCAGACCCCAAAGTGCAAGAACGAGAGAGTCGTTCGTGACCGCCCGGGAAATAATGGGGCAGGAGACAACCTCTCTCTTTTGAGGACATTTCGAAACGAGTTCTTCACGGACTCTGGTGATAAAGGTATAACGACACGGGAAGACTCCTCAATATCCGAATTACGGCGGATTTTTCTATGTGGCTTGGCAGGGAATTAATTTTGTGGAATCCTGCAGGAAGCGCATTTTCTTGCTCAAGTTTGGCTGCACTAGGTTGCAAGTCTCGAAAAATTCTCTGAAGAGAAGTCGCACCATTTGACATTTGTCGTTCATGAAACATCCCCAGATGGTCTAAATTTGGTAGAGTTTGTGCGTAATGCATTTGTGATCAAAATGGCAGCCTAATGACCAAATTTGACATTTGGACTTCTCCGCATCAATCGCATGTTTGACCTCAGACCTTTGAAGCAAGGAGAAACCATCGACATTCATTTGAAAGGACAATGTTTCAGCTATACGAAGTTTTATTTTATTTCGCATCTATACAGTAAACGGTTTTGAAGTTGCGGCTTTTTAATTATAACCCAGAAAACGGCCATCTAGCGGCAGCTTCAAAAATAACTACAGCGAAATTGGTCGGTGGTGACTGAGACACTTTCTTTCGCTTTTCTGGAGACCCCCTAAAATAATCCGATTGATTAAAATAACTATTAATCCTAGAACTTCAATTTTTGAGTTCCTTCCTATCTTAAAACAAGTTCGAGTTCGAGGAAATGAAAGCAGGAACATCATCGTATTCAGACACAGTTACGAAGTCCAAGACCATTGAAGAAGAGAGCAAAAAAGGGAGACAAGAAACGACAAAGCAAATGAAGAAAAGGCTCAATGGAAAGAGAATATAAAAAAGCTAGTCAGAGGGGTGACTTGGAATGGCTATGGCATCGTCCAGGTGATGATTATTTTGCTTAATCTTCACCAAGTATACTTTTGAGAAAAGCGAAACAGCAACTTCTATAATACATTACCTAATACGACTCAACTATGAACATACACATGCTTATTTATCTTCATCGCTTCCTTTCCTGCATCCAAGCATGCACGTGGAAAGAATTTTAGACGCTTCACATTTGAGCAATCAAATTTATAAGAATTTAAAACAAAATGAATCTGATAATCAGAGCACAAGGAAAACGCTAAAATGTTCTATCTCCAGGAACTGTTTTATTCATGAAGATGTGTACGAAAAATATTTCACTCCCCGCATCTCATGGCATCGGAAGATCGAGGTAACATCTTACATCCTGTACAGGGTGAGTCAAAAGTAATGACTCACACTCTGAAGCTTTGGAACGGTTCTATATAGGGTGAGTGTTGTGAATGTCGGCACTCGTAGGAAATTCTTCACTACGAATTCATTCCGGAAACAGTGCATCAAATGTCCGATTCTTTGGTACTTTTATCCCTTGACGATATGTCAAGACGAGGACCGGGTACGGTGGAGATTCAAAATTCGTCACACAGGCATGATCCGGTCTTGGAGGCAATACACTGTTTTGTTTTCGTTTTCGTAGCAAAAGAGAAAAAAGGAGCTTGCTTTTGTCGGACTTGCAATAGGTGGGTTTCATAAGCTGGAACATCCCTCATTCTAGTCCCTCTCCTTTAAAGGGGTAAACTTCCTCAAGGAGGCAGTAATGGCTGAGGTTCAATTTGGTCTCTGCTTCTTATCACTTAGCAACTGGTACATTATCTAACAGCGGGGAAGTTGGAATGATATATAGCTTTCGAAAACCTCTCTCGTAGAAGTTTGGTCCGATGAATCACGATGCCACAGGGCCTTCACCAGCTTCCCTGGACTTCAGGATTTTTAAGTTCGTTATATCTAATTTCTCGGTGTCTTCATTTATAGTAATCGTACTCCATTGGGAGCATTCAATACTTATGTGAGCAAAAAAAGGGAGGGAATAGGGGAAGTTCGAGTCTTGCTGGCAATTGCCGATGGGGAGGGCGGAGGCTCAGATCAGGTTGCTGACGCAATCATGAGAAAAATTAAAGGTCAGGGGAAAAAAAGAGATAATACAAGACGTTGGATAATGGGGGAGGGAGGGTTTCGTATAGAAGTGCAGACGTAAATTACCTACAAGGGGGGGAGGTTCCAGTTTTGCTTATGTAATTATTGAGCGCTCCCCTTGAAGACAGCCATTGAAACATGAAATTAAAAATTTCAAGTTCAGAGAAAATTCAGGGAATTCCTCGCTGATGGTGAACATACACCGAATGAAAGCTTCTCAGTTCATGAACTCACGCCAGGCGTTGTGAGACCCTCTAGGGCTAGGCCATCTAAACTGATACATAAAGTGAAAGAAGCCAGATACTGGCCTAATCGTGGCGGTCGAGTCATGGCCGCTTCTTTCATCAATTGGTGGTTAGACATAGCCCAGCGCTGAGTCTTGCGTGTTGCATTCCACGAACATTGAAAGAAAGTCTCCCAGATTAAAGACCAGAAGCAGATCGTGGGAACATTGGGATGGCTCAAGAGGTATGAAATGGAATATAATCGTTTATAAACCGTGTTAAAGCTCATCAGGTAAGTTCTAACGTTAAGTGTTTCTAACTCGAGTCAGACATTTCCCCCCTTTGACTTCGACACCCATGCATGAGGAACATCTCATGCACGGGTGTCCAAGTCAAGTGAAGAATTGTCTGTGAAAAACACTGAATTTTGTGGGTCTTTCCCGTCTAGAATACGAACGTTAACTTATCGTCTCTCTACGAAAGTAAGCTGTCCCGTCTCGTGGTTCTTGCAAGTAGGGGATCGTCAATGGAGGCAGGGTAGGCCCGGGCCTACCCTGCCTCCATTGACGATCCAATACTGCTGGATATCACGAGCAGCCACTGATGATAGGATTCCTTATTGCAGAGTATTTGCTGCTGCACAGAGTAAAAACTAAGTCTTCAAGGGGGTCTTGGGGATTACTGACGAAATTTTCCCCACAGACGGAGGCTCAGATTGGTGACTGATGATACTACAATTGAACTAGTTTGTGATAGATTATATCTATTCAAATATACAAGGTGAGAACTGAATTATCAGGTAGAGGTCTTTTTTCATATTTGCAAAAAGTGGGAAGAGTATTGTTTAGCTTAGTAAGTATTTGTTTGCTAAGTTCCTGAATGGGTTCAGAGTTTGATGAATGTTCTGAGAAAGATTTATAGCCAAATAGGGTCTGCTATAGCAGCATTTGTAGACAGAGGCAATGTGGAGAGGGAAAGATTGAGAGGGCTCAGTTTTGAATCCTTTGATATTTTCCAGCTAAGGGCCTCATTATTTTCTTTTTGTCAAATTTTAAGAGTAAGGAGCTGAGGTCATGAAGAAACTCTTTCATTAAACTTTGATTTTGAAAAGTCATCTCATGAGATTTAGACATTAGATAAGATTTTTCTGCCTGGAAGAGTGCACATATCACTTAATTGATCCAATCAAGGTTCATACTTAAGTTTTTCTTGAATCCAATTCCTTAAAGTACGATGGTATCATTAGCTCATCAGCATAGTTCATTTAGAGAATGGTATCTGGTAATGGAATAGATAATTAAATAGGAATGGGAATTGTAATGGTAATGGAATAGAGCATTAGAGATGGTATATTCAGTATATTTCATTTCCAGTGAGGACAATCATTCAGTCTTTCACAATGGTGAAGAGAAATGGGGACAAAAATGCCTCATTGCAAAGCATCAATGTAGCCTGAATGAACTTCTGATTTTTCTTGCAGTATTTCATGAACTTTAAGTCATCAGAAAGAGAGCACGGTACAGATAAAATGAGTTAGAGAGGAGAGAAGATCCACTATCCAATGACGTGCTGCCTTTTTCTGTAGTTGTAGATAGAGGTGGAGTCAAGGAAAAGACTGCTGAGCTATAAGGCCTTTTATCTGAGATTATCTGGTGAAGCAAGGTAGCTGTCAGTTAGTATTCCTGCTTCATGGTTATAGAGATGGTCTCTCTATTCATTCTATCCCTATCTCACACATAGCCCAACAATCTGCATTTTCAGTTTATTGTGGATATTGACTTCTTTAGCTGTCTTGACATGAATACTTAAGTGGCATTTTAACCACTGTTAAGCAAAGAGCAAATACTTTCATTCTAAAAAATATTTGATGGGCCTTTTTTTTTTAAAAAAAGCCAGTTTCATGGTTGAGACCTCTAGTTCATCATGGTTTATGGTGGATGCTTCCAAAAGCATCCCCACTCAATAAGCAAGGTCACTTCAGTCCAGTGTAGGAAAAATATATATTTTTCCCATGAACCAGAGGCGACAAATTGGAATTTCCCAGGAAGGATATGCAAGCGGACGAAGCGGGTCTCCCGCCCGCGCATATCCGTTCCTGCGAACCTCATTCGCAGGTTCGCAAGGGTTTTCCTAGCCTGTCAGTCTACTGGAGAATTCAGTTATGTATAAATGCTTAGATTGGCTTATGTGCTGCTTTCAGATGATTCCAGTTCTCATTGGTCTTGGGGCTGTCATCCTGACAGCTTTTCTCACCAAGTTATACTTAAACAAAAATAAAAAAGGCCCTCAGAAGACACTTCAGGATCCTCTGGTGAAATATCCCCTCAGGCTTGTTGACAGAGAAGTTGTGAGCCATGACACAAGACGCTTTAGATTTGCTCTCCCGTCTCCAAATCACATATTGGGTGAGTGAATGAAAAGGCATGAGTGCCTCTACAAAGCTGTTTAAAATGCTATCATTTCATTATAAGAACTATCTCAATGTATCATAACAAATTGAATTGTGTCTGGCACAGGATGGTAACAATTTCTCAGGCAGAAAGTGTTGTGTATAACATTATGTGGTACACCTTCTAAGATCTAACAGCCTTCCATTGAAGGTTTTTGAGTAAGCCTTTTGCTTGGTTCTTTATTGCCAAAGATTTTTGAAATTATAAACTTAAAATGTTTATGAGAACCCTAATGTTATAGCAACTTTTCTTGAGCACAGGATGTACTACAGGCCATAGTGGTTATCAATTATGGCCTCCTAACTACATACTTTAGTAGTTCTTTAATCATACCATTGGTGTTAAGTTTATGCTGTTTCATATTTTATTTTTAAATTTCATTTCTAAGCTTCACAGGTTACTGTTGCTGGACTTGTTGGCAAGTTTTGAGCCAAAAATAATTTCCATTGGATTTAAGTATCTCATAATGGCTCTCCTTATTCTTAGGTGTAGTCTATATCCTGAATCCTTGTGCAGTGGCATAGCCTGCTGCATTCAGAGAATGCTATAAAATGGATTAGCACCCTGTCAACAGAGTTGATACAGAGAATCCATATTTATGACCCCTCAAGGAAAGAAGGGGTAGAAAAGGAGAGGGGGTGGGGAGGAGAGGGCCATGAAGCAGGGCACTTGTTAGCAAAAGTTCCCCTTCCTCAACATTATTGCTCTCATTTGTCATCATTGACAGTGTCACTCATCTTGTGGATCTCATTACCCTTTGACTCTTTGAGAGTCAACTGCTTGCACAAAGATTCAGGATATCTGCACAAGGATTCAGGATATTGACTATATAGACTTGTATCTTTTTTAGCCCTTATCCAGGCAAGGTATTTTTGTGACACAAACAGGCAAGGCCAAACATTTTTAGAATTTTTTCCCTAAAAGCAAATCCAAACGTTAAAAAATTCATTTTTAATTAATGGATGACTGTCTATTAAACCCATATCAAATTTGAAGAATATTTTGAAAAAATTGCAGAGAGTAATGAAATCAAATATACCATGGGGGAGGGGGGGTTCAATTGCCCGGATAAGGGTTAAATTGGTGTAATGTACTTATTGACAGAAAAATTACATTTGAGCATTACTTTTGCAGCTTGAAATATTGTGGTTAGACAAGCATGCACTAGGCACAAATAATCAAGTATTACATTGTAAACATAACTTCCAAACATGTTAGGAGTGACATGTTGACAGTAACTTCTGAGGAATTTAAAATGCCCAGCCAACCTCTCCTTGCCAAGCACAACAGTGGAGGTTCACTGTGTTGAACACACCATATGGCTTGAATGGCAGTGAATATGTTAACTTTTCACATATGACTTATCCTTTGAATTGTCATTTGTTTTTGGCAGAACTCAAGAAATCAAGATAGACCTAAGACAAAAGATGATTTGATTCACTCTTACCATTACTGATAGAACCCAACTTCTGTTAATATCCTGGTTAGTAATAGCAAACATAATAATTAGTTCCATGTTTCTAAGGGTTAAAAGGAAGGGTGCCTCTTTTGAATGAGAACAAATTCTAATTTTTACCTAAATATAACTATGACCCAACATGTGGGCAACTTGGTTGACTCTTGACTTTTACAAAGTTTTGGGCTGAATGACCTCTAACAACAAAGGATACTACAATGAAACTATTATGAGTGTGTTCTCCTTTGGAATAGCTCTAATTTGGTATCACCCCATATTTATTTGGATGTAGATAACATTTTTAATGTTGCAAAGATCAAAGATTGCAGCAAAATGGCTGACTTCAACAGCCCCGTAGGCCCACTACCCACAGGTTCAATGGATACTTTTGCATGCAGCTTTTTAGTAACATGTAGTAAAAGCTTATAATAATAAGAAATAGTTTGGTATCCAGCTGTAGCTAAGGGATACAAATTTCTATCACAGTGCCTTCTAGGGGTTAATTACCTATTTTATATCAAATATCTTGGACATTATGGGTAAAAAAAAACTTTAATTGAGGTTTTGCTGTCATTCACTATGAGGAACAAACAATAAAAAAGTAACTTCCTGATTATGAGATGTCTGACAATCACTGAACCCTATTGGGCTGGATAGGATGTACTGTAAATCCCTACAAGCCCAGGCAACCAAAGGAATTTTATGCAGAGTACAACTGAACTCAGGACTCTGTGGCTATGCAGAGCTATAAGCCAATTTCACCTCTCATTCCCATGAATTCCTGTTACACATTCCTCTAATTTCTATCCATACATCTAATACATATATGTAAGCATATTTCCTCTTTTTACCTCATGGTATTCTTGCCACACTTTCTCCTTGTTGAATAATCATTTTCTTAGTGACTCTAATAGGATTCACTGCCTTTGGGAAAAAAAATTAAAAGCATACACTTGGCAAAACTATGATTACTTTTATTCTTTTCTGGATTAAATGAAAAATCAGACATTTGAATTGTGAATCAAGGTATCATATACAGAGTGGTCCAGGTCAAGTGTAAAGAACCTCACTGAACTTTTCTAAGAAATGGCTCTTTTTATTGACTTCAAATTTGCACAGCCTGTTCCTGACATAATGGACCAGACATGACATGAGTTTCACTCAAATTGGCCACCTTTGGCCTTGATTATGGCCTTCAACCTCTTCTTGAAGTTGTTGATGCTATTCCTCACCTATTTCATTGGAATTTTGTCCCAAATATTGTCTGAGATTATCCGGACTGTCATGGGGCTTGGAACAGGCCTTAGACACAAGGATTGACCACATGGTGTAGTGAAGAGGGTTCAGATCTGGAGACGATGGGGCCACTCCTCCATGGTCAAGAACCATGGCAAATTTTTCAGACACCAGTCCTGGGTCACATTAGCTGTATGAGATGTCGTTCCATTCTGCTGGAATGTCCAAGGCTCATCCCTGAACAGATCTTGAGCCGAGGGGAGCAGGGCGTCCAGCATTATGGATTTTATGTAGACGTCCTTGATTTTAATGTACTCGGGAATGAAGATGAGGGGGCCACACCACACAGTGGCCGGCTTCTGGGTGCAGAACATCATTCCAACATTGTTGGGAATCTCATCTTGACTTCGTGCCAGTAAACAATCATTTTGCCTGTTGTGAACTGCATGTACTGTGAATAACTTCTTGCCGAAAGGACAATGTTGGGGGCAGAACCATTCTTGAGCCTCTCCAGCATCTGACAACTTTAGGAAAGTCTCTTACTCTTGGTGGCTGCACTGAGGAGCTGTCACTTTTGGAGCCGGTGGGAGGTGAACCCTAGATCATTCTTGACCATTCTCATCATCGTTGACCTCGAGACAGTCGTCTCCTCTGCCATTTTCCTGATGGACCTGTTGGGATTGTGCCAAATCTGGTGCTTGACTTGGTTGACGAATTTCTTTGTTCTCATTAGTTTCCTGCTGCCTCCAGATCGTTTGGCGGTTGAGCCTGTCTCAAGGTATCGATTCAATGTTCTTTGATGAAGGTTTGGGTCAAGTTCAACTTGTTGCTTGCATTTTCAATGTCCGGTCTTTTCAGGCCCTGTTCATGCAGTTCCATGACTAAGGACAGCCTGGCTTCTGATGCAATTTTATTTGCTTGTGTTCAACTGACAGTCAAATCCAGGACTGGATTAAACAGCAGAAACATAAAATTCCAACTAATAACATTTGAACTACATGAGTCAGATATTCGGTGTAGGAGGACTTTAAAATTTTGTTACACTTGACCTGGACCACCCTGTATCTATTTTGTATGGTAAGAATGTATACAGTGTTTTGATGCTCACAAAGATCATGATATCAGATTTTCCTATAGGATTCCTCTGTAGATACTTTTCTAAAGTTGTAAGTTATAATGGAAAAATAGGGTGTTACTGTACTACTTATTTTTAAATATAACTTATTACTGCTGCTGGTGACTTTGAAAAAGCAATTCACCAACCCTGACGATACCTAAACTGTGAAAATATATATTCTGTCTTGAAACAGCATAACAATGATTCAGAGTAAGTTATGCAACCCTGCCATGAACTGTCTCCCAAAAGTTAATTTTTTTAGGAGGTGAGAAAATTTATTTGATTTTCTCCCATATGGTTTATATGGCCTGTTGCTGGAAAACAATATAAATTTTGCAGGACTTCCCTTGGGCCAGCATATCTACTTGACAGCTCGAATTAATGGAGAACTGGTGATCAGACCATATACACCTGTATCAAGTGATGAAGACAGAGGATACATGGATTTAGTCATCAAAGTGTACTTCAAGAATGTCCATCCTAAGTTCCCTGATGGAGGAAAGATGAGTCAGCATCTAGAAAATATGAAAAAGGGTGAAACCATAGATGTTAGAGGTCCTTCTGGTCTCCTCATTTACAATGGCAAAGGAGAATTTGCTGTTCGGCCTGACAAGAAGATGCCACCAAACCTACTTCATGTGAAGAAAGTATGGATAGACTTCATATATGATTCAAGAGATGTTGCAGTTTCTCAAAGGAATGTCTCTTTCCAGGTTAGCATGATAGCAGGAGGAACTGGCATCACCCCAATGTTGCAGCTTATTAGAGCTGTGTTTAGAGATCCAGAGGACAACACTCAACTTGCCCTCTTGTTTGCAAATCAAACTGAAAAAGATATTCTTCTAAGGCCTGAATTGGAGGATATTCAAGAAAGTCATCCAGAACAGTTCAAACTATGGTATACTGTGGACAGAGCAGAAGATGGTGAGTTCTGAACTAGAACTTGTTTTTATGCTGTATTGCAATTGTGTCTAGGGGTCAGTTTTCATTGCTTTACAATACGCTTATTTCAGGTTGGACCTATGGCACAGGGTTTGTTAGTGCCGAGATGATTCAGGAACACCTGTTCCCTCCAGCAGATGATACACTCATTCTCATGTGTGGCCCTCCTCCCATGATCAACTTTGCCTGCACACCCAATCTGGACAAGTTGGGATATAGCAAACGACTTCGGTTCTCCTATTAGAGCAGCTCAGTTGGGGATCTTTCAGAGATTCTTTCATGTCCCACCAGAATTGTACTAATGATTGTTTCTTCCAGGTATCTTGTATGGGTGATTAGAAGCAAGGTTTGGTCTATATTTTAAGATTTTCATTGTGTGTCAATACTGTATGCTGTGATGACAAAAGGTTTTGCTTCTGTAATAATGCTATCTTCTTGTTCATTTTGGAATGCACTTGCCTTATACAATCTGGTTCATGGTAGAGGAGAGGCAAATAGAACAAATAAGAATGTGTTTTGCCATTTTTTCTTAAAGACGAGGCCAATTTTGTAATACATATTCATTCGAAAGCATGTAAAAAATATCAGCGACAAAAGGCTCATGAGATCAGGAGCAGTGGCTAACAAGACTTCAGTTTCAAAACATGCATACCAAAACAAGGGCATATAAAGTGCTAACACACTGAAAGAATATGCAGGACTTCAAAAACATGATGCAAGAAAAAAAAAAGAATCTTGAGAGATGATAATACAAGCAGATAAACTAAACTACTAGTAATCTGAAAACATGATATCGCAGCATATGCATAGGACGGATGGGTTGGAAGTAGTGAAGCAAGGAGTCAAGGATAGATGCAGGTATGGCACTATGAATTGAGCCATCTTCTCAAGGGGTAAACAGCTGCAATGAGGAGAAACATTAACTTCCCACTTGGGGAAAGGCTGGAACTGTCATTGCATCTTTCATCAAAGTCACAGAAGCAGTATGTCACTTCATCATAGTGGTTTCTGTGTGCCAAAGAAAAGGATCCACCATTATGAACAAATCATTGTAGGAAAAGGGAATGGTGAAAGAAAATGAACTGCTATGTACCTTTTCACATCCAATTCCTTGATATCATTGAAGACATAGATTCCAAGCTGCACATCATGGGCTGCTGGGCGGCATCCCTCATAACGATCTCCAGGAATGTCTCTTCTGACTCCTTTCAACTCTGACAGGCAGTCTCGAATTATGTTGGTTTGAGCTATTAGCATTAAAAAAAAAGACCCTTTAGAAGTCTTTGAGAGTGACAAGATCACAGGAATATCACAACTACAGTACCTCCTTTCTTCTCAATAATTTTCACACATTTATCATCTGGATCCTGACAGTTGTGACTCCAATACCATCTCCAGTCAAAGTGCTCTCCACAGCCAGGATGTGTGCCAACACACTTGTAACAGTAAAGGGCATCACCTAAGCTCAGACCAGAGTGGAAAACATTAGTGTTTTTGAATTGACTTTCTTATGCTACCATGGTGCTTTTGTTGAGGATACAGGAGAGAGAGAGAGAGAGAGATATAGAGAGTAAGAAAAGCTATTTGGTGCCAAAATTGTCTGAAACTACCCAACCTTTGGGCCCTAAAGCACAGGACTAAGAGATGAGAGTAGAGAGTGAGAAATCTCTAATCCTATATATATATATTTTTGTGGAAAAACACACCGATCAAGCCAAACCTACAGCCAGCACGAGTCCAAACTACTGAGGGAAAATGAGAAGAGAATACTAAAAAAAAGCTGTCCTTCACTTATTTTTAGTATTCTCTTCTCATTTTCCCTCAGTAGTTTGGACTCGTGCTGGCTGTAGGTTTGGCTTGATTGCCGTGATTTTCCACGAATATATTTAGCCTAGGTGTCTGTTGTTGTCGGCTATTGCTCCCAGCGAGGTATGGCCCACCATGAACATTCTGCAAAATTTGTGCAGAAAAACTATGCCCTTTTGCCATACATTAGTATGTCAATCTTTCCTCCCCCCCCTTCTTCTCATCATATGGGGAAATATGATACCTCACTCTACCTTAATGTTTTTCTCTTTTTTTTGTGTATTCTGACACCTCTTCACATGACTGACTCCCCTGTATAGGAATTGCAATGGATGGATCTTGAAGTAATCTGAAATAGTGTTGAATTCAAATGGGACAGAAGAAAAAGTTCCCTGTAGTCAGGTCTTAGTGAGAAAAGCCTACACAGGACATTTCTTTGCAAATAATACACTCTACAAGCCCATCATAATACCATATAAGTACCATATGACTTATATGGCCTACCATATAAGTCATAAGTTAGTGGTGTGAGTTCATGTTGATATAGTACAACTTGCTTTGCTTCTTCATTAGTGTTGCTTAATTCTCTTCAAGCTCAATTAAGTTTTAACTTTAGCATTGTGCCAAAGCACTATAGCTAAATTATGCCTAGAGGAGGCTAGGTGACATACAGGAAAAATCTAGGCCTGTTTGAAGAAAAAATGTCTCACCTAGAGGTAGTCCAATAAAGGGGATGAGATACACCATGAGCATTGCCTGCTTCATGGCTGATTCTCTAAGGCAAAGCCTTACAATTCAAGAACAGACCTCATGATGATCTAGAAATCATAAGTAATGTCTCTCCTGCAAGATAACACATGTTAACTTGGAGCAATAGGCAAGAACATTTGTATGACAACTAAGAATTGAGTTAGGCCAGGCCCTTGGAGCAAAGACTTGATAAATGATGTGCTACCAGTGGCAGCCAGAGAAAATTTTTGTTCACAAAAGTTGAAGGACTTAGAACATAAGCATTCAGGCTCACTGAGTGCATCCATGGACTTAGCCTACCATAGCCTGGCCACAGAGATGCAATTGTCCAACTGTGGATGATGAGTCTCATGGGAAGAATCATCATGATCAAATTCTAGAGTAGAGTCTGACATCCTTTGTAGTGCAGGCTTTAAGCCTAAGTTGCAGGCACCAAGTTATGGGCTGAGTAACCTGTTGAATGATTTCCAACAATCCACAACCAGGATACAATCATCTAGGTTTTTGCCAAAATAACTGGGAAGGTCATGCATTCCTGCCTTGATATCTACTTGGATAAGATAACATTTTCTTCACAGTCTAAATTTGGCTTCAGGAAAGGTTTAAATACTCAATTTTCAATCTTGAACTTTTGGGATGGCATATTTACCTCTCATGACAATGGTGAGAACCCTAAACATCAGTAGAGCTTTTGACACTATAAACCACCAAGTCCTCCTCAAATGGGAATACTGTGGCATCTGAGGTATACCCCTTGTTTGACTGGCCCCTATCTCTCCAATCACTCCACAACTGTTCACTATCTAGACAACCATGGATGTACCCATGTCAGAACCCTATGATAAACTCTGGAGCCCCCAAAGGTCCTGTCCCAGGGGTCCTACTGTTATCTCCTGCATAGGTGACCTCCAAACTCGTATCTCATGACCCAGTTCATGCTATTTGCTGATAATACTTCTATATTTCTTTCTACAATCACAAATCTAGCAAACTCAAGTATCCTCTCTGGCTCTGAAAGCATAAGTTCATGAGTAGGAAGAAAGGACCCCAAACTCAACCTGGAAAAATAAAATCTCTTTAGGCACCACTCAATCTGCAATGAGGCTCTTAGAGTCTTCCTGGATTCAGGCCTCAAATGGAAAGACCAGGGGTGCCCAAAGTGCAGCCTGCAGGCCACATCCAGCACACCAAGTGCCTTAGAAAACATCCACTTTGGGCATCCCTGATCTAAATCATCTCTTTAAAACTCTGAAGTTATACTACCTATTCAAACACTCCCATTTTGCAGAGGTAAAATCTCTTACTAAACTATTATGTTCTCTTTGAATCATGACTCACATACAGAATCCCTGTTTGGGGGCCAACCACAGCTGAGATGATGTCCCAATTATTGGTCTTTCAAATGCATGAAATTTACATTATTACATCTGAAACCTCTAAAATCCTATAAATTCTTCTTCCAACACCTTTAAATTATAATCTTTCCAAACTTTATCACATCTTGAATTTTTTTTTTCACTGCAAGTTGTCTTGTAATTTTTCCTTAATGCATTGGCACTGACTTATGAGTTAGTACCAAAGTCCGATTGACAAGACATTCCATTGACAAAAACCTTCAAAACAACTCCAATCAAGTAAAGTCACTGTCTTGCATTGGTAAGTCCATTAGTAGCAGTATACCTGGTCTTGTATGTCTTGTGCATTGTACAGTGATACAAAACTTTCCCCATGCTGACCATATACACTGCAATGCATTCCTTCCTTTCATCATTCAGATGTTTAACATGTCCCTGTGTATAACACTTGGGATCCCCCTTCCTTCTGCTGGAGGAAGGAGGAATTCTTCATTGAGATAAGATCTTTGCCCTTACATTTATTGGGATCCCAACCCCTTATTAATTGGAACCTCATCTTATTGATCAACACACTCTTACCATATTGATTGTGACCCTGTCCCTGAATCATATCAAGAGCATGCAAACAGTGTTAATTAGTCAAAGAGGGAGAGTAAAAGAAGAGGCAGTAGCAACAGATTCATTATTGTTCTGTAAGACAAGTGTCAGGATTGTTAAAGCTCATTTCCACATTTTGTTGAAGGCTTAAAAGTGAAAAATACTGTTTAAAAAAAAAGGGATGGTTATGATGCAGTAGATGTTATCCATACAATCCAAGGATAAGCACTCCTGCTCCATCCCATCGATACAGAAATCTGCTTCTTCCACCCTCAGAAATCACTCTTCTTCATGCTGAAGAAAACATATTTTCCCTTGTGTAAAAACACAAAAGGGTTTGTGTAACACTTATGTCTTTCATCTTAATCAGAGGTGTCAACTCAAATCGGTTGGTGGGCTGCATTACTTACTCTGCAGATGTCTGCAGGCCACACCCATAATTTTTCATTGAAATTTGTGCTGAAAGTCAATCCAAGTGAAAATTTCACGAACCGATAGCGGGCTGGATGAACCACCTCCACAGGCCGTATGTTTGACACCCTTGATCTAAATGATGAAAGGAAGGAGTAGATTGCAGTGTACATGGATGCACCCCCTAAGTAGGGGGGGGGGGTGTGTGCAAGAAGTACAGAACCCACTATACATTTGCTGCAAAATCACAAGCATAGAATATATTTAAAAAATTGATGGGAAAGTTCTCATCAATAGCTAAAATATGGTACTTGAGCAACTGAATGATGCCAATACCAATGGATCAACATGGATATAAACTCACACAACTATTGGCACAAACAATTCATGCACATTCATCATTTAAAATAAGGAAAAACACAATATTGGGCTTATCGTTTTATAATCAAGTTCCAGAAGCTGTTTGCTTTCTCTCTGAAGCCTCCTTCTCATAACATATCAAGGATTGTCTTACTTCTAACCCTCTCTACTCATACTGACTTTTCTGAAATTACATGGAACTTGCCCAAGGCCTTAGTGATGCAAGTGATAAGAACATGTGAGAAACATAGTTACTAGTCACAGTTCATTGTGCATAAAATGTAGGTCGAAGTTATCTCTTGTATAGTCATAGCTGAGTTCTCCTTGAGCAGTCACGTATATTCTTAACTCTATACGGATTCATGCCTCCAATGAGAAAAATAAATTAATTCAATTCACTGAAGCCGAGGGTGCAATACACAACGGTGATAGTTTCAGTTCGTGTCACCTTCAACATAGATCAATGTTAGTCAGTTCGATTTGTAGTTTTTGAGGGCTCATGGGATCGTCTTAGGTAATGGTAACGATGGTGCAAAATGGAAGCATAAGCACGGCAATAGGGATAAGGTGCGAGTTTCGGTTGAATTAGGGCCTCACCATATTGGTATCAGACATCACTGTCGCAGCCGCTGCACAGATTGTTAATACAAGGTAGATCTACTACGTTTGGTATGGAACCAAAAGGAAACTTAAATAAATTTAAGAATATCACCATTGGATATTTTGAAGAATCTCCTTCCTTGTTGTAGGATTGGGTTAGTTCTGTTCATCTTGTCATTATTCAATCTGGCCAGGCCTCGGAAGGTTAAAATTGGGCATCATTGACTGGCGAGCGTGCTCGCAGTCGCAGTTGAGTCGCAGCTACATAGGTTTGGGGCTACGTTTTTAGGTTCGGTAAGAATGTCACATGGCATTTTTGTCCTTTATGACGTTCTTTGTCAAGGTCAAGGGTTTATATAGAAGATAGTTCTGTCACTCTGCAAGACTATGTTCTCGTTGGAGCTTATCCCTCTACTGCCTGTTACAGCTATGAAAGTCTAAACTCAACATCGTTTCACCTTTTTCGGTCGTTCAACCCGCTTTTATTTGTCATCTTCTTGGACCTACCATCGATGCTTAACTCTTCCAGCGCTGAGTTTTGACTCGACCTCCTAAGTGATGAACGTACGGTGTACGTGAAAATGGCCTGAAAGGTTAAAGTGGAGTTACACATAACTTGTATGTGAGTATGTTCAGATGGAAGTTACTTGCTAGACTAGAGTAGCTGTTTAAATTTTGGAAGCTACTTGCTTATATCGAAGTTAGTCATTTTGCAATTGTTTAACATGTAACCCAAGTTGATTCAACATTTCTGTATGGCGAATTGCATGGTTTTCATATGAAGAGAATTCCATGGAGGATTTTGTGGAATGCTCTTTTTTTTATCATCATATCACTTATAAAATGGTTATGGTGTGTGGATGTTACACCTGGGGAAGCCTTAATTCAAACTTGGAGCATATGTTCAGTTGTGAAGAGGGACACCCAGGAGATGGTGAGGTTGCAGCAAACCAGTCATATAAATGACAATATGGGTGGCAATGAATTTGGTTTTAGGAAATAATAGTTTTGAGTGGGTTACTTTCTTTGTGGCCAATTGCTTTATGAGATAGAAACAGTGGAGAAGAGGGAGTCTTGTATTCTGGCAACTGCAGTCCCAGAGACTTCAAGAAAAGCCTACAATTTCATACAGACTATGAAGTAGTGCTCTGGATGTTAATATATCTGTTGAACAAGAGACATTCAGTATTGGTGTAATCATCAGTTAAAGGCCAAATCTAATTTGTCTAGGTTTTCCCTTTCTTTTTTTCTGTTGTCTCTGGATGAATGGATGAAAGCAAGCTCTCCTCTTCCTGGAGACATAAGTTACAGAATTTCAAATCTCCAACTGTGCCTTGAAAAGTATCATGGAAAACTGTTAAGACTGTAAGTTATCTGTCTGATAAGATAATAATGTGCAATATTAAGAATGACTACAGTGCTGCATGGCCTAGCCCTTCCTCAATTTCATGTGATCCCTGAATGAAAAAGACAGAGTTTTCCCATTTTGGCATAAGAAAATGAGATGTAATCCTTGAATTGTTTTCTCCCTCAGGCATTACATACATGAAGGATGGAATCACATTACTGTCTCAAATGGGGGAATTTCACAAAAAACATTCAAGCTGCCTTCTCAGGATTGTTCCTCCAAGAGACATTGTCAGATACAACCATTTATTGTGAAGGGATGCACATCAAATGCCACAAGCTGGTCTTGTCACTATCTAGTAGTGTATTTGAGAAATTATTTTCCCGCTCTACAAGCAAACATCCATATGTCATCCTGCATGAAGCCTCCTATCAAGACATGATGATCCTTTTGAAATTCATGTACACTGGAGAAGCGAGTGTACCAGAAGAAAAATTGGGGTCCCTTTTGAAGCTTGCTGATTGTCTGAAAGTGAAAGGTCTCACTGGCAGTGAGGATGAACCAGACAAGTTGAGTCGATCCTGTAAAATGACCTCTACGTCTCAGTCACACCCAATCATGTATCCAGAATCTGTCAACAATTTTTCTCAGAAAAGGAGAAGAGTTGATCAGGAAGTTGGCGCACTCAATCAAGAATCATATGTCACAATGAATGGCCGAGATTCACCACATCATCAATCGTCTTCATACCTTCAAACATCTAATGAACCTGTGATAGGAAAAGCTAGTGTTGAATCTCCCCTTCCAACTCTGCCTGGTAACAGAAGTCCAGACAATCAGTGTGAAGTTGGTGTAGGTCTGGATTTATCCTGTGCAAAGAGATCAAGTTCCCTTGAGCCTGAAATTTCAAGAACTGAGGGATCCTGTTCCAATCCATCTGGAGCAATATCTCCTAATGCAGAGGTAAAAGGCCCAGTTCATACATTGTAGGAAGATATTAGGCAACATGCATCAACTTGATTCCTGTTGAATTTGCCCATTCTCCTAAAGGATTTTTTTTAAGGAGTAGGCCTAACTGCCTAATCTTAAAAAAAAAATGCTTCTAAGAACCCATAATTGATTTTCAGAAGTTCAAGGGGTCATTTTTACAGTATTGTTTGGCCCCACATTTCACTGTTCAGGGACATGTGCTTTGTTTCTTCTAAATGTCACTTATAATTTTTTAGGTTTCAAGCTATCATTAGCCAGCATTTCTCCAAATACTGTCAAATTAGGTCTAGCTACCTGGGGCAGCACATTATTAACTAAAATGCAAATAGCTAGGTATGTTTAATGCACTTTTTTGGTTTATTTTGTCCTTGCTTCTTTGGTGGCATCATTGCTTATTGCTTTAACCCTTTCAATCCTGGTGGGACTCAAGAGTCCTACATTTTGTTCACATATGTTATATGTGTACATAGGAATCCATGACAGGATTCTGAGTCCCTGTTTATAGTAGTTTACCACATTTTTTCAAGTTGATGGCAGTCTACATTAATAGGAAGCTGCTGTATTTCCTCTGGCACTTCAAAAATGGTGTCAAAATTAATATTCATTTCAGTTAAGACATTTCTTTCCCAGCCAATTTTTCTATATTTTTGCAAGCTAGATAATGAAAAGTAGTTCAGAAATACTGGGAAACATACTATGTAAAATAGGGATGGGAGTCCTAGCTGAGCTAATTAAATAGTTTGATTTTAGTAATTTATTTAATTTCTTTAAATAATTGAAATAAATATTTAGTTTTACTTGAAGAATGAATTTTCAGAAAGTCCATCTCCCTTCTCTGTCTTGGTAAACTACAAGTGATGTAGACTGGGAAGTGTAGTTTATTGAGTTCCTATTCATTGGGTGCACTAACACTGGGGGGAGTCACACATAAGGAGGAGAATGGAACAATGCCATGTCTTCACAGAATTGTACAATCCTTCTTCATGTGGGGCTCCTCCCAATTATTCTCAAAACTTGAGAGCTATGACATTGACAAAGGGAGCTTCTAGCCGAAGTAAAACATGTTATAAATGCGACAGAGTTCAGGGGTGTGCAAAAAACGTGGTTCAATCCTTAATCAAATTTCACCTTCAGAGGAGATACAGGTTTTCCTCAAAGCCACTTGCCAATGCAAGGATTTCCATGGAATCATGAGCCTCAGTGAGGTACATGTGCATGAAATGAGTGGATTATTATTAATATCTTCCAGTTCCTGATAGAATTCACTACACCGGGAAACTGCTTTAAACTTGAAGTTTTGACTCCCATTAGCTCTGTATTCCCTTAAGTGCTGCTATCTTTTTTTTTCATATCATTGTGCTTCATGGGTGTAAATCACAACCCATGACAGAAACCCTTTTTGGATTAGTACCTCAGCAGGGCCGGATTAAGAAGTTGTGAGGCCCCCAGGCAAGTGGATTCTTGGAGCTACCTCCCCCTCCCCCCCATTTCCCAAATACTTAACGTTTTTCATTTCCTTCGATGGCCCCCTGGAAGAGTGGGGCCCGGGGCAACAGTCCCCTTTGCCCCCCCCCCCCCTTAATCCAGCCCTGACCTCATGATGAAACGTTTCGGGTCAAGGGTTAATGTTGGCTATTTATCCTGTGACAGCAAATGCCAAATTTGATTTTCATAGGCCCATGGAAGGCAAAGGCCTAGACTGAAAGAAACTTCATGACAGGCCTTTCAGGCTCTCTGGATGCTCCAAATAGAAACTTCAGCCCATTGATTACTTACTATATAATCATTCTTGGCCTTAAGAAATCCCTCTGGCAAAAAAAAAGAAGCATTTTCATAGTAAAAACAGTTTCCATAAGAAACGCATTGAAGCATGCGCACTTGACTCCCCCCAGCTCATTTTTATGCTTCCTGCCGCCAGATGTCTCCAACTTAATGCACCCAGTGAATATACTGATCATAGCAGCTTGGACCTGAATATCCACACCTTTAAAGCCTTCCTCTGCCTGGAGTCCCTTGCCTGCCTGACATTTTACAATAGTTTCAAGATGCTTGTTAAAGGGTTCCTGGGCTGTAGCTGTTAAATGGCCTGCCTCTCTGTCCATGAATATATCCATCATATTACTGTATTGGGTAAACACCCCAGTTTTTGGCCATGTTGATACGACTCCCATAGGAAGTGGACACCCTGTGCACACACTGGGAAACACTAGTAATAGGTCCTCATATGGAAAGATTATAGAATGCTTGAAAATGGCCTGATTAACTAATTATGCTGGATTTAAGTTTCACTGGCCAACAACTGGAGACCAGCCAGAAACTGGGGTGCTTACCCGATATAGTGCGACACAAAAGTCAGTTGACAAAAAAGAGAAAAACAACTTTGCCTAAAATCTTTGTTTTTGTTTGGCAGGTGCTGACTGAATACGTTTAACAGAAATGCATGCCAACCATGCTGATACCAGAACAATGAGTTGAGTTCGATGTTCTGGTGTCACCCTGTCCAATCCACTGATCACCAAACATGTTATTCAGTTTCTGATGGACTGAGAGCAAAGTGTGCAAGGAGCAAACTCGTTCTGGTGTCAGCATGGTTGGTATGCGGTTCTGTTAAGCATATTCAGTCAGCACCTGCCAAGCAAAAACAAAGATTTTAGGCATAGTTATTTTTTCTCATTTGTCAAGTGATTTTTGAGTCACACTGTATTACACATTAATTGTTTCATGGAAAAAAAAGATTCCATGAAAATATAGACTCTTACAAAGGGTAGCTTTGTCAAAATTTGTCAGTTCTAACAGGAAAATGTACAGTGGACAGTTGCTGGGAGCAATAGTGCAGACAAAACAATAAAATACCAAGTGTTATAGTATGCTGTGTGGCTGTGTGCCTGTGTTGAGTTTATGTATTGGTATTGAATTGTGAGAAATTAATATTATTTCAGGAGCAGGAGGAGGTGGACATGGATCCAGAAGGAGATTCTCATCAATTGGATCTCAGTCTTCCTAGCAGTAATAAAACTGTATGTTTTTCCTTCTTTACCATTCTTTATTTCATTCCTATCAATAGTAATTATAAACTAATCAAAGTGATTCCATTCTCTCACTTCATAAAGCAGGAGCATTGTCATGTTGGAGATGAGGAGACAATCCCTGAGAATTCATCACAGTCTTCAAATAATGTCGGTATGGATCTTTAGCACCTTCTTGCAGGGTGGCCTACTGGAATATGTTGATTAGAGTTGCAGTTGGTTTCACCTAGAGTTTCATCAGATCAGGACACTTGATCCGAAGAGAGTTTATGTATGCAGTGATAAACATCCTTAATCATGGGTAATAATTATGGTTGTACCATTGGCAGTCTTTAGTCTAGGGGCCAATGGATGGCTATTATCTTGCGCACATAGGCCATTGCTGTTGCCAATTGGGTTGGGTGGTTTAACTACTAGTTGTAGCAAATGGATGAGGGGGAAGAAAATTGATACATAATTTTCCAGTATTCTGCAGCGTGTTATCAACTTTTTCATGCCAACTATTAAAAATTGGATTTTATGTTCTGACTTTTTTTTTCTGCTCTATCCCCTTGTCTCAAAAATTGCAAAAATGGTAGCATTTTTCCTCAGGAGGCCTATACTTTATACCATATATAGGAGTTGAGGAATAGATCCAGCTTATTTTTGATGGGAAGAATAGCAAATCAGGATAATTCATGTTTTTGGATCAAGTGAGCATATCTTGTAGGTGTTTCTTATGGATTGAACTTTCATGGTGCTGCTGTAGAGCAAAGGGACTGCTCTCTACCTCTTCATCCAGAAATCCCTCCTTGCTGCAGTTTCCCCTGGAAGCCTCCCATATGAATAAGTGCTAGATCCATTTTATGGAGAATATTATGGCATAATGTAACGAGGTAGTACAGATAATATATATTTTGGTTTTTTTTATCATAAATAAAAAATTGGTTAAGGTCATGTTTATGATATAGTATCTCTGTACCAATTCCTGCATGGGGGGAAGTTGAAGCATGTTTTGAATTTTATTGTAAAAGAGTGACAGGATGCCTAATGTTATCATTTGAAGGATTCCTGCAACAGAAAGTGGCAGTCAGGCACTGATTAAATATAGATTTTCTCAAAGGGACCCAATAAACATGTAATAATCTCTCCAGGAAAATAAAATTCCTTGCTAGGCCCTTCTATGTATTCTTGGAAAAGATAGTGGAAGCCCTGAGCGATACCTGATGCCAGTATTCAGTATGATTCCTGTGCTGAAAGATTTCTCCATCGGCCAAAATTTATCAATTTTATAAAAGAGACCAGAATTGGTATAAGCCTATGTTTTCTTAGAACTGACAGGAGTCTGGCAGCATGCCCTATTTCATCATTAGATCCAGGTCTCAGCCACAGAGGTAGGTTTAATCATGTCATGCACCATTTCCATTTGTATTTGGAAGAAGATGGAAGCACCTGTTCTTTTTCTAGAAAAAAAGACCAGGGACCTCTTTTCCTATAATAATAATAATAATAAAATTTCATAGAATTTTTTGCAAAATTCTTTATCCATGCGTAAACTTGACTTCGTGTTTGCTCAATCCCTTCTTTAACTTGAACTGACATAGTTGCCATGGTAACTAGAGGAACAAAGTCATAAAAGCTGAAAAAATAATGGCCCTTGATTTGGCTCTAAAATGAGGCCAATTATATCCAGGGTCATGTTGATGGTATTGACAGGCCTTTTGTGGAAAGTAAATATTTTAATGATTTTTTCCAGTCAATTTACAAAGTTAGCCAAATGTAGGATAGGGCTATGGAAGCATACATGGTCTACTGAAATACTGAAAATCATGGGAGTAGAATCCTTTTAATGATATACCTAGATGTGATCATCATCCTCCTGAACATCAGTTGCCACTATTGCAATGCAACAGTTGAATGTTTAGGGGAAGCTGTGCTCTTCACACCAAGAATCTTGAGAATGAAGGTAATGATAGCTTTTTTGCTGCTGAAATTTATTTTATTTTTATTTTGTAAAAGTTTTGAATATATGACATATATGAGAATGTATGGACAGGTATGACATGGCACACACAGGCAATGCCAAACATTCCATGTGGTTTGAATAATTGGGCTATCCCTTAAGGACTGTTTTTCTTAGAGTACCATATTATCATAGTTTTATTTTATTAATTCTTTGACAGATGAGCTTTTCAGACACTGGGATGTGGTTTTTTGACAGACCATACTCTACAAGAATGAGCATACTTACATGGCTCCTAATGCTATATTGAACAGCATGTTTCTGAAGGCTATGGCCCCCTGAGATAAGTATATGGCAATACCTCAATGGGGCAATTTTTGAACATGTATATATACGTCAGTACCCTGTCAAACAGATTCGTAGCTGATGTATATTTATGTCAAAACCTGTCAAAGGGTTCATTGTAATGTATTATCATTTAGCTATTTTAACTTTTACATGCCAAATGTTTCCAAATTTGAACAGAGCATGAAATTGGAAAAATGCTAATTTTGCTATATTTGAAGAGCATGGAATCTTCCTTTTATAGGAGTGCAAAGGAAGAATCCTTACTCTTTGAACATAGCAAAATTCAAATTTGTTTGCTGACATGTTCTGTTTGAATTTGGAAATGCTCAGCATTTAAAGGTTGATAAATACCCTAGGAGACTTCCATAAATTATAACATGCTATCATTTCAACATGTGAGTATAAGGTACAATAGCATGAATAGCAAGAATTGCAGTGCAAATGTCAATTTAGTCCATACTTTCTGTACAATTCCCAACTTTATAACTTACTCATGTTCACACTCGGACAGGAAGTTCAAAATATATTCTCTTCTTATCTTACCCAAGCTCTCAGTCCTCTGAGTTTCATTTCCAATGGTTCAGTATTTTCCAGGTTCTGAAAGTATGATTGGCAATCTTGATTATTCTTCTTTTGATTGCGAAACACACTATTTGCCCTTGAGTGAACATGAGACTTATTTTGACTTGGATTAACATAAAATATTGTATTTGGAGGGTATCTAATGTTAAACATGTAGTTGAAGTACCACAAAATAAATGCATTGGCTTCCTAGAGCTAAAAAAGGCATGCAGGAAGGAAGTCCAAAATCCTTCAATACAAAATATAGCGTAAATCATCAAGGACAAAGCCCAAAGCCATGAAACAAGACTATAAGAGGCATGAGAATTTCCTTCAAAGGCATGAGGCATTCAAAAGCATACTATGCCTTTCCCAATTAGCAATTTTTATTGGTCTTGGCTGCTTTTTCATGCACATCTCACCATCTATTTACAAAATGAAGAAATGGAAATTATTGAAAAACATATTGCATTCTTAAACCTCGATAAACCTAGAAAATGATTTTGTAAGATGTTCTGAAGTTGCTTACCAACTACACTGATTGAGACTGATGGGTCTGTCATTCAGGTCATTTATTTTATCATTGAAAATTGTGAACAACATGGGCTATCTTCCAATCATTCACTGGAATGCTCCAGAAAATTTCTGTAGAGGCCATATAAGTTCTTTCTTGCATCACTAAAAAAAAAAAACCACTCATGAAGTAAAATCATTTATTTTCATCAACTGTATGCAAACCTTTATCATGATTCACCTGAATTACCATTTCCAGAAAAATCTGCTCTCCTCTTATATAGACTAGTCCTTTTTACAATGAAAGGTCACTTTTTATTTATTTAAATGCACCTAGAATTTTAGTAACTCAGTCAGAAAGTTAGGATTGCAATTTCTACCTTGTAGTGAATGATTGCAAAATCTAGGGAAAATATTTTGTTACTACTATTAGGATTAATTTGCTTTCATGACTGCTTGGATTATTACAATTCCTAGGGGAAAAAATGCACAATTGCTTAGTTTTAGATCAAGTACTCAAGATCGAAAGATTCTTAGCAAAGTTTTGGAGGGATTGACAAATACCATGCAGCAGGCAGTTTATTTTAAGTTTAATTTTAAAAGCCCAGTGTTCTACCTTGTTCTGACATTTGAGAATGTGGCCATGAAGTAAAAGTAAAATAATGTGACCCTGCATTTGAAAAGATGAGCATTAACTCAATGTGTGACATGAAGATCTTGGGAGGTATGAGGATTTATGAATAGCACCTTTTATACCTCATCCATGTTGTAGTTACTCAAAAAACTTTGACCAAATTTGGTATTTCCTGATTTAATAAAATGTATTAGTTTTTATTCAAATGAGATTTCATTATTAGAAATTCACAGTGCTTAGTTCTTGCTCTATATCTCTTTGATGCTTATTTTTGATCAGTTGATATTACTATGGTCCAAACTTTAGACTTGTATAGAGGTTTTTTTTTCCCAAATTCTTAGCTCATGAGTCTTGAAGGAGCACCCAGAGTACACAAAGGGTATTGTGCGCTGCGTTTGCTATTCTTTTCCCTTCTTTGTATAGAGTTCCTTGTTTTCAATCAACCATGGGCATCTTTTATCCTCATTAGTGAGATTGCATAAATAACATGGTGAAGACAGGTCATTCCCCCTTTCTTTACTTTTGGAAGGACTTTCCACTAGTCAGCCTGGTTCAATCTACTTCTGAACTTGATCAAGTTTAATCCATTTTCTCCCTTCGAAACCCAAGTTGTCTTAGAAATCATTACTGGGGATTGTGTTCATGATAGAGCTGTGTGGTATTTTGGTAAAACCAGAGTACTGAGGTATTTTTATTATTATTTATTACTGAAGCTTAGTACTGAAGAAACTTACAGCATCAAAACACTCTCAAGTTCAATAATTAATATATGTAATGGTTCTGAAGCTTGGGCATCACCACCCCCTCGACTCTCATTTTAACCTTCTCAACCAACCCCTAACCACTATTGCTTGGCCTCAGGAGGGATTGGTAATAAAATACCATAGTACCTGGCCATTGGTACCCTGGTTCTAACTTCTCCAAGTACTGCACAGTCCTAGTTCATAATGTTTATCATCTGTTGCATGGATTCCATTGTCTGATTTAGCTGATTGGTTAGTTGTGACACTATCTTTTTCCATCAGCCTTTGCATGAAGATACTCATAGCCAGATGGGCTGTGATTGAGGTCCCAGGTTTCATTTCTTTTTCATAGTGGTTCTTTCTAACTCAGCACCAACTATTGAGGACATCAGTAGGACAGTGTAGATTGAGAATTGAGACGACAGAATCGGTTTAGAATGGTATAGGTATTGTTGCAACCCTGTCCAGATGTGGTTGCATGGAGGATGAGGAGGCAAAGAAGGAAGCGTGAGAAAAATTGCCACTACACCCAACAAGACTTAGAAAATGCCCTCTCTATGATCATTACCAACCAGATCCCTGTGCGCAGGGCTGAGAAAATCTTTGGCGTTCCTGAATCAACTCTGAGACTGCGATTGAAACGGATGGACTCATCTCTAAGGGAGGATGAGGTCACAAGAATTCTCTTTCATCCTTCACCTGCATCCTTTAGTCCCATGCTTGTATTTTCACCCATTGATGTTGCTTATGCCATATAGAATTTGCATGGATGGATTCACAAGGCTTCAGTTTGGCCTTTATTCTCATTTCGAACTACACATTTCTTAATGGTCCACCAGGAAATGGCATCACTTAATGTCAGCTCTGGGACTTTGATTCACAAAATGTTCCATCCACTGTCCAAGGTTGCCTGGGGTTTCTGGGGGTCTGGTCTCCCTGTTTGACATGCAGAACATAGCTAGTTTTAACCAGAAGGTTTTTCACAAAACTCCCAGATATATATGATAATTTTTTATGGTCATGGCAAGTTGAGAAAATCAGATATCTGTCACCCCATGTATGAATTATGCCCTAATAAGTAGTCATATCAAAATACATAGGTGCACTAGTTCTGATAGAGTTTTAATTTGTCACAAGTCAAGGTTGACTTCTGTTGAACTTAAGCTCCTAGTAGAGCAGCAAAGTATTTCCAACCTCTTTTGGATCCTGACTTTTGGCTTTCAAGATAAATAGTCCAAAGTGTGGATACTGCTGTTCTAAAATGTTTATTTCCAGAGTGAAAATTCTTTGAAGGCAGTCTTGTAAATAGCCCATATTTCTCTGTAGAAATTCTATTATTAGTAATGAAATAAAATTGAGGAATTTGAAACAGTAACCTTACATCTTGATAAATTGGGAATTAATTTGTTATAATTCCACAATGCTTCCAATTTTTCATTTAAACTCCAGTTTAAATCTGTCAACCCCTTTGTAATATGTTTCAAATTTGGATAAAACCTTGAAGTTGGTATGAAGTTCTTCCTGTTCAATGAACTGCTTTATTCTTGTCATTCACTCTGCTGAAACTTCTAGAGTATAATAAATATGGTCAAGTAGAGTTAAATAAAAGCATAACATTCTCACATTTTCAGTGTAGATATTCTTTAAGTACTTAATTGACAGTAAGAGGTCTTTATGTGGAGCATGTTTCTCCAAAATGGGTTCTTTGGATGTCAGGGGCCAGAAGGAAAGCAGCAAACATGCACAATAAACTAGTATAGGAAAAATGTATTCTGTAGAAAGAAATATTAAAACTAAGATTCTGGAGAATGTCTGAATATAAAAATGTCTATAGACTAGTTATTCATATAAATATTCTGACCCCTCACCAATGCTAGCCCATTTCATTTTTTTATTATTCCTCCCTGTTTGGAAAGGTCTCTTCATTCTAGATGCTTTTCAGTTGTAGCTTCTCATTAACAGTGTACTTTATCCTGGCCATATCTGCATGAATTTGCATGGTGTTGTTCATGTGATTAATGGTCATTTCTGTATTGGTGAGTGCCAATAGAACATTGTACTACATGTAAAGAGGACTGTTAGATGTAGGTTTGGTTTGTGAATGTAGACTGAATGCATAAAATATATTATACTGAGTTTATTAATAGAGGATGGCATTGCCATTGTGTCATTTACTGATAGATTGATTTAATTTTGGGAATGAATGTATCTTCTCAAAATAATTAATTTATGAGGCCATTATATGAAGATTTTGGCTAGTAAGGTTGGTTACTTAAAATGAATTTAAAGTTAATGCTGATTTGTCAATACCCCCACTTTTTTTTTTCCTTGTTGCTCATCTTTATTCTGTATCTCCTTCATTCCATACTCCACCCAAGTACCTTGATTTTAGAATGTGTATTTGCATGATGCTATTCTGGGTTTCAACTTTTAGTCAAGAATGTTTAGGCATGATGTATTTTCTTGCGTATTGGCACACTGCTTGCTTCTATACAAATTTAACAGACATAGGAGGTTGGTAGCATTGTCTGGGAGCAAAAAACAAAAAGTAGTTGGTGTTGACGTAGCCTAGTGTATTTTGACTACAAGTATGTTCCTCTTTTTGTTTTTATGAATATGGCTCATGCCCATCATAATCACTTAAAGTTAACTGCAGCTATGTATGTACTCTATCAAACTAAGTTAAATGAAGGTCAGGTTACATTGGGTGAGGGACTTAATTTTTGAAAATATGCTATAAAAGTGAATTATTCAGAGATTTTACTTGTCCAATATTTGGCAAGTACACAAATTCATTGGTCACTTTCATCCTATTTTTTGGGTCCAAAATTTTAGGATAATGCTTCTACATTATGTTTCAGATTATTTTCTCCATTCAGGAAGACTGTTCTTCCCATTATACCATTCTTGCTTTATTTATTTTTTCCAGGAGAAAAAATTAGTCTTTGTGTTACAATACAATACAATTTAGCATATCAAACCAAGAAATATGTTGCTGGTTGAGAGAAAATATTACTCATATAATTGCTCCTATCAATGCCTGAGCTTACAGGTGAAATGCAGAAGTAAGTATAAAGGAATGAAAGTGTATTCCTGTCTTAGTGTATTCCTGTCTTATTCCTTCATTCCAACCAATAATAATGTTCTTTATTGGGACAGAAAGTGATTGATTAGACAACAGATAGACCAACCAAGACCATGCATTGATGCAACACATGACTGAGGCATGTAACATTAAGAGCAAGATGCTGGCATATGTAGGTGAAATGCCAGCATAGCTATATCTCATCGTTTCCAGAGAGGATCCTGGACATTTATTGCTATCTTCATCTATTGATGTGAAGATGAGGGTGTCCATGTATCATTCCACTTCTCCATATTTGCTTGAAATGATCCATTGTGTGGATTTCAGTATAAAAATTCCTATTTCTAATAAAAGTAGGCAAAGCATGCCCTTGATGGCAGACAGATAACTTTTCCTTGGGAAAAGTTGTACTATACAACTACAATTGCTTCCCTTTGCTTCTCTGAAAAAAAACCAGCAATGTATTTCTTGGATTGGTTTATTCAAAATAGAATAAACCAATCCTGAATGAAATTAGGTCTATATTAAAACAGGATGATGTGTACTTCCTTAGCCAAGAATATTTATATGATACGCCATTTAAAGATGGATAAAGATTGTATATATGGTAAACTGAAGACCTCTGAAATGTAGAGCTTGAGGCATCCTGCATGCAACTTCAAGTAATTCTATGTCTTTCTTGTGTGTGACCAAGTCATGGGTTGTATCAGCTGCTCTAGTTTTACTTACTGATGTCTTTTCTTGGGTTTCCATGACCAGAGGAGTACGAAACATATCTTCGGCAGTATATGATGAGAATGCGACGACATGAGCGCTACAGTGTCCTGGAGAAGGTTCAGGTTCTCCAGGAGCTCAAGAATGGGATGAGGATCTCACATGCAAGTCGTAAATATGGCATTCCATGGAGCACAGTGAAGGAGTGGGCTAAGCAGGCATCATTACATGGTGGGCCATCCTACAGTGGTTCTCTTCCAACTGCTTCAACCAACAGATGAGTTCCTTTCTTTCCCTGATGATTTTCCCATGCCCAGGACTGATGTTCCCTGAAGTTCTGGACTAGATGCAGCCATCAGTAGTCAAATCATAACATGCAAAAATTTGCTCAATCAGCTTGTGAATATTATGCCTGTTACCTGTACATTTTGTACAGTTTTCCTTTTCTGTTCAGTGAATATGAGGTGCCAGTTGAAATATCCAGTTCATGTCTAGGTACAAATTGAGTTCATGGAGATGGTGTATCTTGTAATAAGGCAAAAGAAAGCAAGCATTTCAAAGAGTTTCAGTTTATCTTGAAAGTTGATATTGATTTCCCATAGGCCTCCACTCATGAGAGGCTAGCACTTGTGTCTTGAACAATCCAACTTAGTTTTTCTGTGAAATTTGAAATTAAAACTTCTTAATGCAAGTAGTAGGCCCATAATTGATTCTGGACACCCACACAAACACGGGTCCATTGATGCAAGAATATTCTAGATTAGGCTACCTGTCCCTTGAAGAAAGATGCCTACCTACCTCAAGCCTCATGCTCTCATAACTGCAAGGACTCCCCAAGACCTGAGGATACTTTATTTGTCATGCCAATGTCCTTAATAAGCATTGTGCACAGCATTGTTGTTTTTGTACTATCTACCAGTTACAGCTATGTTGAATTCATTTATGATGGGTCCGTGTTTGTGATGATGTTATTCTGTGCATAATACTTTTAGTCTAATGATGTGGCACTTTGATTTATGAAGTTGCTAGTAGTAGCCCAAACCACCTCTAGTCACTCAGTCAACCTTTTTGAACTTTTTTTTATTTTGTATTGTATTTATTAGATTGCTCAGTTTATCTGATTGTCTCTTCCCATGTGCCAAAATCTGTGACATTTCCATGGGAATGGCTCAATGCAAGTGATTACTGGCAATTCATATGCTTGAAGTGGATGTGCCAAATTACCTCAGAGGGCATCTTTAGATCCACAAATGCACTGCTATCACAATTTTGCCTCAATTCCAATGTCCCATTCATTGTGCTTATTTCATTCCTTCTAGTACAGTAGGTATATCTCTAACACCTAGGATGAGGTTGAAAGTAAATTCTTCTGTGGATGTTACAATGACCCAAATTCAGTTCTATGCAATTATTAAGGGCAGATACAAGATTTCTATTGACTGAAATCCAATCTTTTCATGTTCTGTAGCAATTAAATACAGGAATGGACTTTTAATGGTTGTCGATGGTAAATTGAAGCAGTGTGCAGCTCAAGGAAGGACTGTTTGTGATTTTATGAACAGAGAATCTCAGATGTAACATGATTTAGCACTGTGAGCTTCTGCCCATGAGGGAAAACCAGGATCTGTGTAACTAAGTGATGTCAACTCATGAATTGATAGAGAGCAATATTTCACAGATCTGCATTTATGTTGTGTCAAAACCTGTTCTATAGGTTGATTGTGATCTTGTAGTGGCCAAGGTTTTCAAGCTGTAATAAAGTCTTCCTGCTTTTTGTACTTGTATCTTTATGTACTATGTCTAAGAAAGTGTCTGCTGTCTTGTGCTAGCAAGCAGATATTTGCTGCCATCATGGTTATCTATAGATGGTGAAAGCTTCATTTTCCATTACTTTCACTTAGAGTACCCATAATACAGGATGTCTAAGAAAGGTCTGAAATAGAGCAAAAATTCATATCTCTGAAATGAAGTGATGTATTTCTGAAATGTTTACAACAAAAGGTAGGTACACTCAGCAAGATTTTATGAGGAGTTAATCAGTCTCAATTTGTGCATGTTTTGTGGCTCTGCATGCATCCAATCAATACTCCACCTTGTACCAGGTGATTGTCAGCATGTCAGGGGTAACAGCATTAAATGCAGGAACAATTCTGTCTTATAAAAGTGCACATTGTCAATCATAACCTGATGTCTCTCACATAACTCTATAGGAAAAAGTCTAGCAGGGTCAATATAGGTGGTAGGGCCAGGGTCCACCTCTCCCAATTCAATTGTTTGGAAATTGCTGGTCCAGAAATGTGCACACATCACTGCTGAAGTGTGAGCACACCCCATCTCATTGGAAGATTGTGTCATCAGGCAATTGTTGGATTGAAAAGTTTTTTTTTATTACATATCCTGATATGAAGGTGATTTGTCATAACTGCCATGTCTGAGGGAGAGAAGGTCCACATGTTGTTATGAAGCATGAAAGAGACTTCCCAAGAGTGAATGTGTGGCATATAGTTATGAAGGGTAGAGTGATTTGTCCATTCTTTTTTGCCAAACTAACTGTGAATACCACCATGTATAAGGAAATGTTAGAAAACTTTGCAATCCCACAGTTGCCTGATGACACCATCTTCTGAGATGGGGTAGCTTTGGTAGTGGTGTGCATGCATTTCTGGACCAGCATTTTCTGAACTGTTGGATTGGGAGAGGAGGACCCTGGCTCTCATGGTCCCATGACTTAACTCCACTAGACTTTCCTTTGGGGTTATGTGAAAGACATGGTTTATCAGGCTAAGATTGACAATGTGGCATTTTTTCATGACAGTTGTTTCTGAATTTAATATTGTCACCCTTGACAGGCTGACAATCATCTGGCATGAGGTGAAGTACTGATTGGATGTGTGCAGAGTTACACAAGGTGCAAACATCGAGATTAACTCCTCAAAAAACTTGATTAGTGTACCTATCACTTGCTATAAACCTTTTTTGGAAATAAATCACTTCATTCCAGATATGTGAATTTTTGTTTAATTTCAGACCTTTCTCAGATGCCCTGTATACTATTATAAACAGTTTAGTAACAAAGTATTCATGTGTTATCTGATGCTAAAGTTTTCAACTTTTTTCCCATCTTGACCATTGTGTCTTATTGGGATTACAAGTATTGGGATGTTCCACTGAATGCCATATTGTCACTTGAGAAGTGATGTAGTAGATTGAACTGGAATGCATTTAGCATTCCTGCCCTGTTAGAGGCAGCAAAAGTTATAATGCTACATGCCCCATGTTATGCCCACACCAGCTGTATTAGGGAAAAAGCAAGTATCTGTCAATGATCCTCCTTCATTTCACAGGTTACATAAAATAGGGTAATCTCTTCAGTCCTCATCAACTGTTGTTCCTCATTGCTGGGATTCCTAAGCCACTGAAGGAGCAGCAACCATGTCAGAAAGAAAAGTCCTCAATGTGAGTTTCCTTCGGAATACCAGTATATAAATGGCTCTGACCCAATTATCCATTGAATTTTTCTACAATCAATTTGTAGCATTTTAGTTTTTGATGTTAATAAATGTTAGCTCCACCATTGTGGCAGCATCTTAGGGGTCTTGAGCAAAGGAGCCAGCAATGCATCAAAATGTCAGATTTGATTGATTTTTACCATCTTTTAAACATGCTATTGTATTCTGAAGAGGTAGCACACAAGTTTGTCCTTGAAATTTTAAAATGATATTTCATGTTTTTTCACGACTCAAAGTAGAACCTGCCCTGGCAGAGAAAACTCAAAGCTTTTACACTCAGGTGAAGGTCAAATCACTCTTCCTCAAGATGAACATCACCCCATGCATCTCTTGAAAAATGGTTCAATTCCTCTGAGGCTGCATTCATACTTATCCCCTTTTAGACATGGCAGAATAGAGAGAAACAAAATCTGATGTAGCAAGACAAAACATTCCCATCAAGATAGACAGTACAGAGTGGATTTACAATTATTACATGGTCAACCATAGACAATGATGAGTTTGAGGAACTTTGCTTGGTATTATTGATGGAAGTAATGAAGGAGTTGGTGGTCCTGGGTCAATCCATTGATCAAGGAAGATATCATTCACTGATGAAGGAACTGAGCTTTGACTCAGGCGTGTGCTGCAATTGCTTCCTGATATCAAGACATTCAATAATATTCTGGAAGTGATAGCTATATTTATCCTGCATCATTAATATAGCTTCTGAGACCCCAGTTCATGAATACAAATGATAGCATTGGGATAATCCTTCTTGAAGTACTTTTCTATATTTCAATACTTTGCTAACTATAAAGATTAAGAGAGAGGAAAGTATTGTAAAAACTACTAAAAACTACAGGACATTAAGAAGTAGGTACACATTGGATCATATGGAGAGATAAACCAATTCCAGCAGGTCAGATGTATGGCTGCAAATTGAATGAGACTTTGCAGGGGCTTCATAGCACCAAGGTTTGGTGAAGATAGTTCTATAACTACTACTGAATATCATTTCCTGGGGATTATATATTAATATTCACACTTCTTGAGTAATCCAGGGAATGGGCATTTTGGATATATATGGTTTCAGCATTTTTTGTTCATTTACTGAGTTTTGCATAATATTTTCAGGTTGCACAAGCTGCCATTGCCTTGTATTGGAAAATTATATTGCATCAGTCAGTTTACAATAACAGATTTGGGAAGGGGTGAAGAAAAGGACAGAGTTCTTGACTTGGTTCCAGTCCAAAGTTTGAAAGGGCAGTTTCTATTGTATGCAGGGTGTAGAAAACCAGCACAGGATAACTGCTGAACTCTTGGGCCTTTCAGATAACAGAGTTTAAGATATCTTAAGCAATTTGATGAATTTTTCGCAGTCTATTCTGCATACCAACTCCTCCCCATCTCATAATCAGAGGCCCTCTATTTGAGGATGTTGCCACTCAAGTTTTCAAGTCTTTGTTATGTACCATTCAGCAAGTCCTGTCTTATATCCTGTCAGAACTGATTCAATGTGAATATTCCCATTGAGTGCCATTGTTTTAAGCCTACCATTCAATCTTCTGTAACCCCTGAAATAATGTTAAGACAGCACTAGATTACTTTAACCTTTTGGGGTCCATGCCCAAGTTATCTTGTGTTGGCCTCATGATGAAGGATAGGAAACATTTTTATGAGAGCACTGACATATTTAAAATACTCACTCTCAATTAGCAGTCCTACTTTAACCCCAAAGGGTTAAAGTAGGACTGCTAATTGATTGGAAAATGTAATTAGTAATTCTTGGGCCATTTAACCCTTTGGGGTCTGTGTATTTTGAATGTGTTGGCACTGTCATCCAAGTTTTTTCTATCTTTCATCATGAGGCCAACACAAGATAACTTGGATGTGAACCCCAAAAGGTTCATCTGGTTATTGAAATTTAATTAGTTTCTTGTTTCCATCTGGCAAGGCAAAGCCTTGTATATCAGCTCAAGGTTGTTGCTTCTTTTGCATTACTTTGACATTGTTGCTTTTGTTCTTGTGCTTTCTTATTCTAAAAAAGTAATTTTCTTTGCTGAATACAAAGAAAATGCAAAAATGACTGCCTAATGTGAAATATTGAAATCACCAAACCTTCTGTTTTAGATCCTTTGAAAGTTTTCATGCTATGTAGTGAAAATAAAATAGAAAAACAGGCATTCAGGGGAAGATTTGGAGGCCAAATAAAATTGTATCAAATTTAAATAAATATGAATTTATTAATCCTGAAATTTTAATTTAAGTGATCAATTAATGCGATAAAATTGGTATTCCACATGCTCCAGTATTTTCAGAAGCAAATAGTGAATGTTGAACTTCAATTATGCCAGTATGCTACAGTCAAATTTTCTCTTTCCTTTCACAGAAATATTACCCGCCAGATTTTGATCCATCAAAGATCCCTAGATTGAAGGGTCAGAGAAACCACAAGTTTTGTGTTCGACTAATGGCTCCATGCAACATGAGGTTAGTACAATTGATCCCACTTGGCTAATGTCTGAAGAATATTTTCTTTCCAAGAAAAACTCCCTGCTTCCTTGGCATTTGCTAGCTTGTATACTTTTTTACTTTTCAATTGGATTGCTCCTTGTCCCAAGCTGTGATGACAGAAACATGGAGGTAATCTGAAAGCCATCTTTACCTTGTTTTCCAGCTATATGCACTATTCCATCTTCATGGAATACAAATAAAGCAGGAAAAGCAGGGAAGATACCAGCTTGAGCAAGTTCAGGTGTGGGGAGAATTTTCTTATAAAGAAATATAGCCTCCTTCAGTTTCATAATAACTCAGCCTATATTCATTATTAAGCTCTTTTGGTTAAGTGCAATTCTGTTGATCTTTTCCAGATGCACAACATGTGGTGAATATATATACAAAGGGAAGAAATTCAACTCAAGGAAGGAAGATGTGGATGAGGTGAATTACCTTGGCATTAGAGTGTACAGGTTCTACATCAAGTGCACTCGGTGTCTGTCTGAGATATCTTTTCGAGTAAGGTCCTCTCCATTTCATTAGCTAATGTTTTGCAAAGTTGCTATTGATTCACTACAGCAAATAGCTCTTTGTTTTCTCCATTTTGAAAGTAAATGGTTTTTTGAATCAACTTAAACTGTAGTTTTATTGAAATTGGAGATTTCAATAAAATTTGATTTGATTGAGATTGGAGATTGGTTTGAGATTGGGGATGAATCCCGATGTTCCTCTTCAGACTGACCCAGAGAACACAGACTATGTGATAGAAGCAGGAGCAACAAGGAACTTCCAAGCCCTGAAGCTGGCTGAGGAACAGGCAGAAAGAGAGGAGCAGGAAAGGCTTGAGGAGGAGAAGAGCAATCCCATGAAGGTACAGATGAGAATTGGCCTACCCTTTCCCTTTGACATCTTAGTCATTCACACCTTGTCTTGTAGAATGATGCTTGGCAGGTGTAATCTTTTATGTGTAGTTGTTGGAAAAGCGGACAAAGCAGAGCAAGCATGAGATGGAAGTGATAGAGGCCCTGGAGGAACTGAGAGAGCTAAACCAGAGGCAAGCTGTTGTTGACTACGACTCTATGCTCGAAAAGAAAATTCATGAAGCTCAAGCTGAACGAATTCAGCAAGAAGAAGATGATGAAAGACTTATCAGGCAAGGCTAAAACTTCTTCTTTCATTGTGATCCCCTGCTGCAAAAGACAGTAGGCTAACTGAATGTAGGGAATGGAGAAAAACCAGCTCATTGGACAATGTAGGCCTCCAACCTCATGCCACCATGCTTACCATTTTTCTTCTTTACTGTATTTTCCTCTATAAAGTTTAATCTATGTTTAAATCTTTTGGATTCAGTTTGGTCTGCCTGGTCTTAGCCTCTGATAAGGTGAATTGGATGATGTTTAATGTTCATTGTTGTCATCCATATTGTTCAAATTGAAGGTGAGTTATCTTCATAGGTCAGTCTTCAGCAAAACTGAGGTGGGGACAGTGAAAAGGATCCTGGATGATGACTCTGGGTCTGATGATGAGAAAACACCTGCTAAAGTAATCAAATCAGTTGGTGCTGCAGAGAAGCCTACAGACCTCCTGACTGGCTCTGACAAGTCTGTGAGTGGTCATTTTAACTCTGGAAAATTTGTTTGCAAATTTCACATTGATGAAGGTCTAATTTGCAGCTACAGAAGAAGGAGGATGGAGAGAGGAGTATTGGGACGTTGTCAAAAAATTATCTTTTGGGTCTCATAAAACCCAAGATCCAACTGAAGAAGCACACTGGATCTACATCTCAGCTGCAAAATTGCTCTGAAGTTGAACACCCAAGACAGAAATTATGTGAAAACTCACAAAACCTACTGCCAACTACTCTACCCTCATCCAGCCTGGATCTCCAAAGTGATCCACCTCAGTTTCAGAAAGCAGTAAATGGAGAGATGGAGGATAAAGAGGGATCTGGAAAGGAATCCAACATTGTGGATTCTGATGTCAATCACGTGAATGAGGCATTCCAGATAGGTCTGGATACATCCAGGCACAAGTCAGAAACTATCTTATCCTCAAAATCCTGCAAGGCAACAGGCCTGTCCCTGTTGGGTGCTTATTCAAGTGTCAGCAGTGATTCAGACAGTGACTGAATCACCCTTGCAGTTTTTTTCTTGGTCGGTATTTGAGTTCACAAGAAACATGTATAAATGCTTCATATGTTAATTCAACATATTTCAATGCTTCTCAAATACTGTAGCAAGAAGTTGAATAAATTTCTGCTAAAAGGTTTTAAGGACCTTCATGTAACAGTATTTAAGTAGGCCTACCATTTATTTATTTTCATGTTTCAGCATTATCAAGGCAGCTCCAAAACATTCATATTCAAAGTATTCAATGGCTGAAGGGTTGACTAACTTATTCAGTATCATGAGATCATGCATTAGCATACATATGATTCTGAGGTGTGGGACCAAAATTTGTTATGAAAAGACTTGAACATAAAGTGCAATTTAAAGGACCCATGATGGAAGATTCTACTATGAACACATGTACTAGTCATTCTGGATAGATTTCAAGATGGAATCTAATGATCCTACTGCATCCTTTTTTTAAAATGCAAAAAGGAGAACCTGTCAGTGGGGTGATGTATCACCCCATCAGTTGCCAGAAAGTTTACAATGATTTCAGCTGAACATTAAAAAAATTGCAGTCATTTTTCCAATAAACTTTAAGAACATGTTACATCTGGCATTGTCACAAATTACTTGAGCATACTTTTCCTATTGCTGCAATCAAAGGGTGGTTCGGAAAATTTTTTAGCTCTCATTTCACTGATGAAATGAAGATAATACTAAATTAATGGGCTCCCATTATAAAAATGTGATAAAAAATGCAATTGACTTATTCTTGGGATCCATGAAGTGTCACATCTGACGCATTTCTACATATTTGGATGCAGCCATAGCAAAAGAAAGTATGCAAGGCCTTGGATGATGGAATTTTCAGTCACTGCCTAAGGATGAATGCCACAGCATGTATAGGTTGATCTGTAACTTGCTATGTTATTAGTGATACCTGATTTACCAAAGTTATTTTTCCAAATGTTACATCCAACACAATGGACAGACCAATGTATTGAACTTTGGCTGTATGACTAAGGGAAGCTGAAAGCAATGATGACAAATTTTTTTGTGCAAAAATTGTGATGAACAAAATGTAATTCCATTTCTGAAATGAGAAGAAATCGATCATAAAGCGCAACTATAAAAAATTTACACATTGACTACCATTGTGCAAAATTAAGGCATTTCCGGAGGGCCTCTCCTCTTGTGGTGGCTGGCCACACCTAGGAGTCAGGAATGCTCTCAGGATGTACTTTTCATTTTTTGTGTGAAGGAGTCTTATTTAGTGGAGAAAGATAAGTCATTTTATTGCCATATACTTGATGCAGAGAACAAAACACACTGCCATTGGAATGTTTATATCTGAAAAACAGTTAATGCTACTGCTGTGCCCAATAGGTATGCATCTACATGCTTTCTATAAATAAATAAAAAATTCTTAATTTTGTTTTCCCTGTGCCAGTTCAACCAAAGAAGCACTTTGAAGTTTGCTGGTAAAATACTTGGAAATCCCTGTCCAAGGAGACTCAGTGGAATTGATGCATGGTAGGGTGGCCTTGTACCTGGATGAAACATGTGGTTTTCATTGGAAAATTGCACTTTTCATCCTTTTGAACCATAGGTTCCTGGGCAGGTCAGAGCACCTGTTGATCAGGCTGGAAAACCGGCCTGACAGGTTCCAAGGGTTAATGAAGTCAGTGCGAGATTTCATCCAGAAAACGCTCTTCAATTCTGCCTTGTCTACCTTAGACAACTGCAGGATTACAACTGATGATAGACAAATTGGAACAAAAGTGAGTAAGTGTACAGGCATCTCTTTTTTTGGTGAGAAGCTCATTAATGGACAGGGATTTCTGAGGATTTTACTCTTTATGCTTCAGTGGCTATATAAATGAAAGAACAAAATATTACCTAGGAAAGACAAGTTATAGATGCATACATTCTGGAATATACAGGTGAGGCAAAATTACCTAGTAAATTTTTAATGAATCAACAAATGATGAAATGAACCCGAACTTCTGTCACCCATATTAGTTTCCATTTTCAATCCTGAAATCATAAAATGAAAATCCATCAATTTATTAGGTAGTTTTGCCTCACCCTGTGCATTCTCTAGTAGCATATAGTATTGAATCAATGTTGTTTCCATGTTATATGTTACTAGGGTTACTGTATGACTGTTCTGATCTAAAAATTCCAAGTAGCAGTGCTTTTTTTTCTGCACCCAATATGTTTGCTATAGTTCATCCAATAATTTATTTGAGAGATGGTGCTGATGTATATACAGCTGGAATATTGCACTCTTGTTTGAACACTGGCACCATTTATATTAAATTTTTGGATGAAATATTTGCACCCTATTTCTTGTTTATTTGATGTTTTATATAAAAAAAAAATATTATAAATACTGATCTCTTTATTGTTCGCACTTAAGTGATCAATCTTCACAAGGTGAAGGTCTATGATTCCCTTCTTGGTGGTCAGTAATATTGAACTGGTTGATGTTTCTGGGCAGTGTGCCAATTAAGACTACTGTCCACAATTCTTGACACATTTGCACTGTCCAGTATGGTTAACATTCCCCCAAAGAATATTCCCTGCTGATTCCCAAAAGTGGATCTACAGGTGCTATGTGTGAGTTGACAAGTATGGAGACTATGTTGAAAAGTCTGGTGGTGTTGGACAAAGTGGCATTGTTTGTGTTCCAAAAACATTATTGATGAGAGCTTTTTGGCATCATCTAGTCCTGTAGATAACAAGAGGAATCTGAGCATCTAAACAACATGTCCCTCAGTTGGGTCATGAGAAGTATGACATTTTGTTGTGGCCACCTCTGAAATGTATTCTGGAAAAAGAAACTGAGTGCTCCTCCAAGGGTCATTGGTGGAAGTAGCTATTTCTTTTCACTTTCATAGCTCTACATTTTGTTCCATGACAATTAAAAATTTGATATCATTGGAAAACTATCATCTCCTCTGATTTGGTATATAATACATTATGACTCTTGCAGAATTTTTGGCATGGTAATCTAAGGAGAATGGACTGTAACAATTGAAGAAGCAGTGTTGGCAAAAATACAGGGTGTCTATAAAGTGACTACCTATGGGTGACTTTTTTATTATAGACCCTGAAGTAGCCATTTGTTTAACTTTTGTAGACTGACAACTTATTGACCTCAGAATAGTGTCAGATCTTTTCTCCTTCCACTTTGGCATGGTTGAGAATTAATTTCCCACTTCTGGTGTTTCATGATTTTTTATTCATTTGAATAGAGAAGAAATTCAGACGATTCAAGGAAATTTTTGCCTTTCGACCCTATTGCAACAACTTCTTGCAGTTATCACAGTATTGATTGAATAACAGCGTTTTGGGAATTCAAAATCATAAAAATGAGGAATTTACTCAACAAATTGGCTCAATGTGTCGACCGCCGATTACTAGACATTTCTGAACCCTGGCAATATTATTGTTCCCTCCATGAGAATTCCATCACTTTTCTGGCAACTGGCACTAGAGATAAGACTTATTCTCTTTCAAGTTGTTCAGATCTGTGGGCTTGTCCTTGTAAACAATGCCTTTTAAGTAGCCCCAGAAATAAAAAAATCCCAAGGGATCAAAATCCGGAGATCTTGGAGGTCATTTGCCTTGGGTGACAATTTGGAATGCTACACTCCATATGTCTGAACTTGTAATTGAAACAAGGGTTTGGTAAATGAATCTTCTTCATAGCTATTATTAGGGTTAGCTCTGGGAGCTGGTAGATATAGGTATGTGTACATTGTGTATCCAAAAAATCCAGCCCCACCATCTCCAATACATGTTGTTCTGGTCCCTGCTTGATTCTGTAGCTTTTTTCTGCCTTTGGTCCCAGTCCCTCCCATTCATGTTGTTAAATGTCTCAATCTCACCTTTTTTAATGTTAGGTTCTCCCAATCACTCCTAGTTCCATATAAAAAGAATATTCATGGTAATAGTAATTGGAGGAGTGATGTGATGCTAATGTGCCACAAAATTGAAAACCTTGCAGAGAGATTTAATGTTTCTAAGAGTTTGCATGGGAAAACTTGATGCACTTACCAGCTGCCTGAAGAGTTATAAAACCACCATCATCATAGAAGTACTTGGAGGATATCCTGTAAATGAAAAAGTAATGAAATAAAACATCTGTAAAAACAAAATAAAATCAACTCAAGATAAGGATGCAGGCTATAATATACTGCAGACCAAAAAAAAAATGTCCATGGAGAAGATACTTTGTCTCTTTACCCCTTCTCTGACTTTGAATTATGTGATATCCAATCCTATCCTGGAGGGTCACATATGAAATTCAGAAATGTACTGAATATTTACTGCAAAAAATTATTGAATCTATTGATGAGAGGGTACTCAAAGGCAAATGAAAAAATATAATCTACATTTTGTCCTGCCAGGAAATGGTTGGGCCCTGGATTTTGTGATGCCTCAGCATTAGGGAAGTGAGTAACTGCTGCTTTTACTATGGCATGTACTTATTCAGTCACTTTGAGGATGTATGGCACACTACTATGATAATACTGCAGTACATCTCAGTGAAACTTGAGAAATAGTATTACAGTATTAGGGAAAACATTATATGGAAAAAGTTGGTGCAGCTGTGGATCAGCATACAAAATGCTGCCATAAGCACTAATGATCAGTTCTCAAGTATACTGTATGCCATGTTATTACTAAAATGGAGTTAGTCTTTATCATACTGGTTTTAAAATTTCTCACACCTGCTCATGGCCTAATCTTTTGCAGCATTTAACTGGGAATTGATTAACTTGTACAAAACTTTTTATGCTTTCCTTTAACCCTACAATGCATGATTTTTTTATGTAACAAAAACATTTTTTACAATAATATTTTTTCATGTTGTTGAGAAAATAATTTTTAAATTATCCTTTCATTTAGGTTTTTCCATTGTATTGTTGTGCATTTCAATGCAAAGCAGAGTGTCATATCTGGCACACCATGCAGTGCTGGGCTAATATTATTCTATGGCATTTAAATGAAAGTATTTTGAAGAGGATGTACAATGGAATGTTTTTTAAGCATGAAAACATTGGGTTAATCACACACATTTGGTGTTGCAAAAAAGGCAACATTGGTGCAATAAATGTTAATTCAAGGGCACATGAGACACCTAGCACTTGACAGCTGATTTTTTATATCCCTAACCATAGCTGTGCCTGCTCTGTGCACAAGTGACATGTCAGCAGTTCCCCCCCATCTACCATGTAATTTTTTTCATTACGCTTTACATTGATGTGGTGATACCTTGTTTCACTGAGCTGCACCTGATGATTGTCATCTTATGCCCATATTCCCTTCAAGCAACTTTGAAATCATCCTGTACATGGGTTCTGCAAGTCTGGTGAAAGTTATATATGTCATAATTCCCAAAGTTGACTTTTTATTCCTATATTCTATAGGACTTTATAATTCTATTACATTTATAGTTCTATTACATTTTTGCATAATTTTTTACCTACCATGAGTGACTGAAATTTGCAAAAATGTGAAGCCCCTATTTAAAGGGGGGGCTTGAGAAATTTTGCCTTAGTACCAAGAAAAGGTTTAATTTAATTTTAATTTTCAGTTGGTGGATCATATTGATAGAGCCCTGTCTTATCACCAGTTTCAATGTCAGAGACACATTTTTCTGCTTTAAGTAGAATTTAGGAGCATCATTTTACAGAAATTCACTCTCGTCTGTTTCTCTCTGTCAGATAGGTTTTTTCGGGACCCAGTGGGCTACTATTTTTTCTATCTTCCGAATGTTTCTTCAGAATTTTTTTCTCATGCAGGTATAATGCCAACGGTCTCTTCAAGGGGAAGGTAGGATACTTTCAGGTCATCTTTAATTAGACAATTGACTATCTCCAAAATTTGTATCAATGATGGCTGCTTCTGAATGCCCTTTATGGGGAACATCATCAAGATATAATGGAAATACAAATACAAGATACATCCAAGTATTTAAAATAATATCTCAAATACTTGTCTTTGAAATATTATTTGCAGTATAACCTAACATTGTTGGACAAATCTGCAGGAATATCTCTTCCAATAATATGCCTCTTTGAGGTTCCATAAAATATTATGCATAGCAGTTTTGCCCCATAGGCCCAGGCCTAAGTATTAGGAAGTTATGGGCCATTGTGAGATGAAATCAACATACTTTATTTTCTGACATATAAATGTTTTTAGCAGTTGAAGTTACTATTCTGAATACATAAACAACTCTGTATGAAGTGAGGAATCTTGAAGTATTTTTTGTAATATCAAAATAAGGAGGTAAAACACCAGAGTAGAAGTAATATTTTTGGCAGTAACAACCTTACTCAACCATCCAGCACGCACTGATGAAGGGTATCTAGTTATGAATATCAGAAACTAATGAGCGGAAGAGTGGCAGATAGTGTTTATGGGTTGTGACTTTCACATCACAGTTGGCTGCTACGATGCAGCTATGGTATATTTAAGCAAGGTGATTTATTATGAGACTGTTACTTTGAAGTCACATTGGGGTATAGAAGGTTAAAGAGAGCATCAGCATAACACCTGAACTCAAATCTATTGCCCAAGATCAGAAGAACACTAGAAGGTGCTCTTGGGTCTGCTGAAATGTGACTCCACTAAGTTGGGATGAGTGTTCAAGAAAATGAAAAAGTTTTGAAAATATATGTATAAGTTCTTACTAGGCTCTAGCACTCCATTGTCAAATTTTGTCCAGTATAACCTATTTCCTTATTCCAGTCCATTATTGAACCCAATATGTCACAAATGTTCTCCCATTTTTGCACCACTCTGACGTTGAAGTCAGTTTAAGAAAATCAGATTGTTCATATTTAAATGTGTGATATTCGTTTATGATTTCTGTGCTTGTCAGTAGATGGCAAGTGTATTTTTATTATTTGCCATGTTTGAAAATGGAGTGCAAAAGGTAATATTATTTTTGGTTATTTCTCAAAAGTCTTTTGTTTGCCTTGGGCTTGGATAGCAAGTGCTTGTATTAGATGTTATGTCATCCCATCAATATCCCCTCTTCAGGAAGTGTCAGACCACAGTTGAGAAGGGCATCACTGGTAATCCTTCAAAGATTTTAGTAGATTTTGTTAATAGAGCAAAGAAACCAAGAATTTTCTGTAAAAAGAAAAGTTGTATCTTATTGAGTTCTGCATGCTTTTAATAATCTACTCATGCTCATTTATGGAAGTACAATCTGTGTTCTATAGTACTCATGTTGACAACATCATTACTGAATGAAGTGCTGACTGTGTAAGGTTGACATCCCTTCTGGAGGAAGCCATAGCAGAACTTGATGGTGTTTTTTTTTTATTAGAAAGTTATGAAGGATGGAAGATGATTTGACACGACAAGTAAGTAGCATGTTTTAATTATTTCTCTGATGAAGCTGCATCTACAATGGAGCCCTTTTTGAGGTTCCCAAATACTTGATTGTAGGCTGATGAAGTTGAGGCACTATCATCGATATATGGAAAGGATTTCACAGTGGAAGATGAATCAACTCAGACCTACAGCATATCCATATGTTGCTCTGGGAATGACAGGAACTTGAGAGACTTGGAAGCATCACTACAGTTTTCTTTCCCTGCTGAATACCCTAGCAAGGCACCACCTGACTATCAGCTGTCCTGCCCATGGCTACGTGGAGATAAGAAGCAAACCCTTTGCTGCCAGCTGGAGGAAATCTATTGGTCAGTTATTTTGCATGTACTTACTATAAAGTCATTTTCACAGTTTATTTTCAATCTTCATAAGCCTCTGCATTGAGTCATGATGGTACTCTGATATTATGGTTGTGCTGCTGCTGCAGTGAGAATCCTGGAGAGTCCATCATCTATATGTGGGTGCAGAAGATTGAAGAATTTCTCTCTGAAAGGCAGAGAGAAGAAGAAGATACAATTTTAGCTAAAAAAATGTCTAGTCTTCTGAAGGAGGAAAGCCTTCAAGAAGAGAAAGTAGTAGATTTCTCAGATTGCCCTCCTATTACACATGGTGGTGTCATTGTGGATCGGAAGAGCACCTTTCAAGCTCACCTTGTTCAAGTTACTTCTCTTCATCAAGTCAAGTTAGTAGGGGCTCTCCTTTGTCATGGAATGGCATTAGTTTCCCTCTTCAATGCTACCTTTATTGCTATTGATCCTATGATAGGCAGGTGTTTAGGAAGCTTCTGGAAAATCGCAAGATAGCTGATGCAACCCACAATATCTATGCATACCGTATATTTGACACCCAGAAGAAGAGTTTTGTTCAAGATTGTGATGATGATGGGGAGACTCATGCTGGTAGCAGAGTCCTCCATCTTCTTCAAGTAAGTTTTGTCATCCACTCATGTACCTTATATATACTATGTTCCTGATAACTAAAGAATCTCAAGGTGGTCCATGGATTCCACAACAATATAATAAGCTGATTTTGTTCTTTTAGTAATTGTGATATATTTTTCCTTTATTGCAGATTTAGGGTTTGTTTTTTGAAAATTTGTTGAATATGGAAAATTGGGATTTAACAGCAAGAACAAAAATTGTGGATCTGTATTTTCAGTATGGATAAATATTATTCGCTGAAATTCCCTGGCTTAACTGCCCTAGATATCTTTTTGTGGGCATTGTAAAAGCCATATTTACCAAACTAGACCTCGAAATGTGGAAGAGTTAAAAAGAACCATTTGGTAGTTCATCAGAGGGATTAGCATACAAACACTAACAGCAACAATGAACAATGTTTTTATACGTTACAGAAAGTATGTTAACAGAAATGGTGGTCATATTAATCAAATAATTTTATGCAAGTAAAAAAAGGCATCTCTTGTGAAATTAAAGGTTAAAGTAAAATTAAAACCCTTATTCTTCAAGTTAGTTTAAGTTTCATTTCTGTAAATATAGTGTAATTTCAATTATTATCAAATAATATTGTTGCACAATTTGTGGACCACCCTGTGCATCAGTTTGACATAGGCAGCACTTTGACATTGCTGTCCAAGGTTATAGGAGATGTAGCAGTTAGTGTATCTATGGCCATACCAATTCCTTGGTAGTTATCCCATTGTCTTGGTACCCTTTTTCAAATTTGAGACAAAGTTACTGATTTACTCTCAATATCTTCATTTTGATATCATAAATGGCATCAAGTTTTTTAATAGATTCCCTAGGAATGTATAAGATCTCCTTGAAAGTCAGAATCATTGTCCCTATAGGCAAGCTTACCTAGACAAGGTATTTTTGTGATGTAGTGTGCAAAGCAAAAATGGGAGTCCATGGGACTGGGCCCCACCCCTGCTTTTTTTTTATTAGGAGCAAATAATAATAAAAAATACCTGTTTAAATGTATTTATGGGCCTATGTATAACTGTCAATGAAAGACACAAAATTTATAGAACATTTTTCAAAACTGCCTGGGCAACGGGAGTCCATTGGGCTCCCATTGCCTGGATAAAGGTTAAAAAAGTAAAGCAAGGGTGAGATTCTGCATCCTGCAATACCCTTCTCTGCAGGATCTTAATTTTCATGTCAGAGTGAGAAAAAAAAACCTGAAAAAAAGAGAAGAAATTAATCAGTTTGAAAATTTCCTTTAAAAGTTTTACATTTTATTAATAATGTAATGTGCTACCAAAGGGTCTGTTGAATGAGTATTAAAATTGAGATGAATGCAGTGATGAATTTTCTAACCCTGAAGGAGTTAAACTCCCAGGTTTTTCAGTGGCTGAGAGGATAATATCCTACTGACCCTCCTCTAAAAGAACTGCTAGATCAACTCCTTTAAGGTAGAAAATTCAACAGTGTTTGTATCAATTTTAATACCCCTTCAGTGGACCCTTTGGTGGCATGTTTTTCTTGTAACTACTGTTATGGTTCCCATGGACCCTGGTGCAAAAACTTAGCCATTTGTGTAAGCTGCATGGTAAACTTGTAAAGTCCAAAATTCTGTGTATTTTTGTGAAGACTTATGAAAGTAATTGTGGACTGTGTACTTGTGTTTTTTGCAATTACTTGATTATCTCAACACCCTTGGGTTCATTTAGTTCAGAAAATTACCTCTACCTACCTCTACTGTAATATACAACTAGGATACTCTTGCCTGATTGCACAATGCTAAATCTTGTGCTAGTCAGTCAAATTAATTGTTCCTACCTCAGTGGCAATGTGGTACATATTAACCAATATGCCACCCAGGCCTGTGTGGCATAGTTAATCTGGCCATGTAGCTACATAAATGCTATGCCATTTCTAAGTAGTTGGTTTCTCTGATTCCTGCATCTGACTTGTCAACTGCCATGATTCCACCTTGTGCACCTATTCAACTTGATTGTATTGGCTTCAGTTTTTTGTGTACTTGATCAGTATGCATCTTCCAAACAAATATCCTGATGCTATGAGCTGTATTTTTTCAAAAATGCAACCTTCTCCAATTACAGCTTCTATAAAGGTGTTTGTCTTACTCTCATGGACATGCAAGTCTTGCTCCTCACTCATCTCCAAAACAATCATACTGTGAGGATTCTTTATCCCTGATGGATATATTCATTTAATTCCTTTTTGTCCTTTTTTTTAAAGTCCTTTTGAGTAGGGCATGTAGACAGAATGTGCAGGCATATGCCCTCTTGCTAGCAGTTCAACCTTGCTCTCATCATCACCCATCTAATCTTGTCAGGAAGAAGGATAGTGGACTTCCTACAAGCAATGAAGGTGTTGTTAACCTCATAAGAAGTCACTTCTATGTTTTTCTTCTCACACAAATTACATGTCCTTTCTCCGATTAAAGCATATAAGTAACTCCTTCTTCCCAATCCAATTTTCTTCTTCAGCCCATCATTGACTTTGAAACCATTGCAATTATCTGGTAACTGTCACAGATGAAGACCACAGGTTGGGATGACATCAGTGTGAGATTTCTCAGAAACATGACATAATCCCTCTCTCATATTTTCAAGAATTCATTCAATTCTGACTTTTCACTAGCACCTCTCAACCATTGCAAGTTCATTATGATCCAAAAGAATTACCAAAGGATTATTTTTCAACTTTTTCCCAATCTCTGTTCTCCCACTTATATCAAAGGTTTCTAAAAAAAAAAAAAATTTGAGCAGTTTGATCTCAATTCTCACCTCAGTTCCATTTCTCACATTCCTGCCTCAATTTGATATCTGCAGCTATTTATGTGTTCAAGACAGATTAATTTATTTTCACAAAGAGGTGCATTTTATTCTAAGCAAGAAACAGACTACTGTTGGAGTATTCTATGACATCACCATGAACCAAAGGGTTTGATAACATTTTTCTATTACTGCATAAACTGGAATCTCCTGGAATCCATGGTCTCACTAACTTGTGATTTTAATCATGCCTGTTTCAGTGGCATTCATTAGTACATCACAGGAATTGTACTCTGTGTGTGTGTGTGTGTAATTAAAATTTAATGGTCATATGAAAGGCTCAAGTAATGGAGGAAGGAGTAATTGGAAGGAAGGAAAATACATGTTCCCTTCAATTATCTCAGGACTGACCTGCTTCTCTGGTTCTGTTTTCCCAGATAATTGAAGCAAGAGATGTTTTGGTTGTGGTTTCTCGCTGGTATGGTGGAACTCTTCTGGGACCTGATCGCTTCAAGCATATAAACAATGCTGCACGAATGGTATTACAGATAGCTGGCTTCATCCCAGAATCATCTTCCCCATCCAAGAAAAAAGGAAAGTGATGATTGTCTTCATGGAGTTTATCCTGTTGACCTGTCATCCAATGTTTCCCAAGGAAGGGATGAGATGGTAAAATCATGGAAGTATCTTGGAAGTAAGAAGAGAGCAGAATGAAAGAAATTAAACTGTGTGTATTCCATAATGGCCTATTGCTTTCATACTGCAGTATTGTTTTGCTGTTTGTTATGTTTGTTTTGTTGAACAAGGTATATATTCTGGAATACATCTCCTGATCTGCATCAGTATTATCTGTTACACAAGTGAAAGCCAATTGTGTTGACCAATCAAGCCTCTCAAACTTTGTCCCAGGGAAGACATGAGAGCCTCCTGTGCCCTTTGGGGACATAATGGGACTAGTCATGAATAAGATCATGCCAATAATATGCTCTGCTGTGCCTTGCCTTGATTTCCTTTTAGGCCATGGCAAAAATATAGGAGAACTTGACACCAACAATAGCTTATTTCAAAAGATGGTGCTCACCTCTCTAAGATTGAGGGTTCGGAGTATTGGGTCGATCCTAGCGGCAGCAACAACAATGAGTGCAAAGGCCAAGATTCAGCAGCGACCAAGTTCTGACATGGCTGCATTCAGAGAAGTTTTCCAGAAATCTCAGAAAGTGGTTGTGTTAACTGGAGCAGGGGTCTCAGCTGAATCTGGAGTCCCCACATTTCGAGGACCTGGTGGCTATTGGCGCATGTACCAGGCACCTGAATTGGCCAGTCCTATGGCATTTAGAGGAAACCCTTCTTTAGTCTGGGAGTTTTATCATTATCGACGAGAGCTCATGGCATCAAAGGAACCTAACCCAGTGAGCACTATTTTCACTTGATTTATCATTTGATGTGCAGCTTGTGGAATAGATGTCTGTCTGACCATTCCTGACTTATGCCTGACTTTTATTTGCAGGCTCACATTGCCATTGCTGAATGTGAAAAGCGGCTGCAGAAAGAAGGGAGAGATTTGGTGGTGATAACACAGAATATTGATGGACTCCATGCAAGGGCTGGTTCAAGCAATATCATTGAACTTCATGGCAATTTATTCAAAACTAAATGCCTGGAATGTGGTGAAGTGGCTGTCAACACTGATAGTCCTATCTGCCCTGCCCTGGAAGGCAAAGGGTGAGCATTTATTCATTTTTGCAAGTCAACTTATGTTTTCCTCTATTCTTTTGTTGCATAGATGTATGTCAAATAGTATATGCTTTACAATTAGGGTTGGCTGATAATTAAAGTAATTTTTTTTACCTACATATTTTGAAAACAACTTTCCCATGTTTGGTTTCTTGGATGCTATTTTTTAATTGTGGAATTTGAGGTGAAATTGAAGCTCCAATTTTTTAAATCCATATTTTAAGATTCAGAATCTCTGAAATGTGTAGATTTAGGCAATAGCAGCGCTGCCCAACCTGTGGACCGCGGTCTGGATCTGGACCGTGAGCTTCCATCCTCCGGACCGCAGACTGAGATTGCTATTTGTCCAGTATTTCCCAGACGGCTCCGAATTATGCATTTCTGTCTTCTCAATAATTCCTCTTTCTGTCAGGTGTTCATCTCCTCCCTATTTCTGAGTTTTTCTGGCTTCTTTCCCCTGCCCCTCTCCTGCGTTGGCAGGGGACAATAATGAAAGTCTCAAGGCAGGAAAGAAGTTCCAAATGCCTCCATTCCTCTATGCTGGAAGATATATCCTCATTTGACTCACAAGCGCATCCCTTCCCACCTCACTGATCTTCATATTTCTTGACGAGTCCTTCCCAAAGAATTAGCCTAAATGCGGCATTATCTGATAATGAATGCCATCTCTAGCACAGAAACTTTACTTCCGGACAGCGACACAGGCGGGACATCAGTTAAATGGACCTTCCCACCAAACAGTTGAGCACCCATGGGCAATAGTGAAACAACCAACATAGTATAGTAAAAAGCATCAGTTTGTCCATTCCTTAATTGTTGTTGTGATAATACACTAAGCAGTGGCTAAGTTTTTAATGGCAGACCAAAAGGTGAGGTTTATATTTACTTACATATTGAATACCATTTTGTAGTAATGAGTACTACTGTGAAACTGGTTGAATCTGGTGAAGTCTTTGAGAGCATGAAGAAACAGGAGGGCCTAGGATTAAAGGCTACAGGATCAGCTGGGAACAGGAGCAGGATGTGTGGAAAATAACATAAATTAAACATTTAAAAAATATATGTGGGTGTATATGTATGCATTGTCTATCAGTGGTCACCATGCCCATCCAACTATGGATGGTGAAGACAACTAGGATAGAGCCATACAAAAAAAAATGGTTTATGGTTTAACCCAAGAACACCATACTTATGAGAATGAGATCAATTAAGAGAATTGAATCAACACTACACTCTGATCTCCAAGACCCACAAACAAGAAACAGTCTTTAGACTGCACAAAAATCAATTCATTTTATTCATCCTTTTCACATAGATTCAGCAGCTTGTGTTCTTAAAGATGGTGAACTTAGTTTGACCTTCAACAAGTATATAGATATGTCTAGCCACTGTAATTAGTACTGCCTTCCTTTAGAAATCTTTAAATGTTCTTTCACATGAGATTCCTGGGACCTCACTAACATAAGGGTTAGATTGAACCCTTTCACTGCTGAGTACTTCAGGGCTGCCCAGGGGGGGGGGGCCAATTGGGGCAATCTGCCCCTTGCCCCTCGTATCAAGGGATCCCAAGGGGGGTCTCCAAAGGGCCTCAAGGGGTCTCTGGTTAAGTTTTGCCCCTGGCCCCTGGAAACCTATGGGTGGCGCCCCTGGAGTACTTAGCAGCTGGCCATCCTTGCTGTGCTGGGATTTTATGTGCCCTTAAACCCAATTCACTTTTGCTCAAAATTAAGGTATTTATGTCGCTATTGTCGTGCCTTCGACACTCCATTCCCAGGATAGCGATTCATTCAATAATTTATTTTCAAAGTGGCAAAAAGGTATTAAAAGTATGTGCCCTTCGGAATGTGTATCGAGGGAGAGCAAACCTATATTTTCATAGGAATAATTACTCCCATTGTTTCTTGTGTGCCTAAATTCAAATTTCTTCATAATCTGCCCTGAGGGGGCATATTTGAAAAGTAGGACATGTACTCGGCAATCGAACAGGTACTTCTGTTCCAAGTTTCAACTTTCTTTAGTTCTGTCCTTCATTGAATCAGAAAAGTTTCCAAAAAATGCACCTTTTTGGAAAAAAAAAATGTCCTCAAGGGTGTTACCTAAAAATTAACATTTTACTGAAAACAGTATTCGGAGAACTACGTGTATACCAAGTTTCAGCCTTATTTGTTTGCTCTTTTTGCTGGTGCATAAATATATTTGGAAATATATTTGGAAAAGCCAACACAGCCAAAAGCTGTGCCCTGGGGTATACACCACAAAACCTAATTTTTTCTGAACTCACCATCCACTCAGTTATTGCTGTGCCAGGTTTCACATTTCTACCTCGGTACAATTCAGTGGGAAAAAAATTATTTGAAAACACCACCCCCAAAAAATATGCCCCAGGGCATGCATCTGAAACTTGACATTTTTCCTGGACTTTGTCTCAGTAGGTACGTCCATGCCAAGTTTCAACTTTCCATGTCTCTCCATTTGATTGAAGCAAATATATATCATTGAAAACACCTCCCCCCAAAATGGGTGCCCCCAGGGTATGTACCTCCAAAGTCTGATGCAACAACATCTTCCACAACACTTTCCTTTGCCCCAGCTTCTGTAGCACTCAGGCTTGCCCAGAAGTTTCCAGAGGCCTGGGGCAAAACTAAACTGGAGGCCCCCTTATGGCCCTTTGATACTCAAGGCCTGAGATTGTCCCTGATGCCCCCTTCCCCCCCTCTGGGCAGCCATGGTAGCACTAGCACATGGTTGAGCAGATTGCAAAGCAATCATAAGCCTAAGTCTTTTATCAAATCATATTGGCTCACTGTCATAACTATCCTCACATTCACTATCATCATCAGATACAATGAAGTTGCAGTTGGTAATCAATAATTTCGTCTTCAGAATCACTGTCAAACAATCCAATTTCCACATCTTTTTCACTTAAAGAACATGTGCCTTGACTACTGGTAGATGCTATCTTTGGAAACTAATATCCATGAGATGGCAGAGGGTCCCTGTGATCTATGTGAGCATCAATCATGCCAGATGCTGTTGCTGAGAGTCTTAAGAAATTCATAAATACATGACAAGTTAACATGTCAAATTGTGTTAAATAAAAATGGAGTTGTCTTAACTTGTCATGTAAGCAGTGAATGGGTTAAACAAATTTTATATATATATTTTTTAGTGTATTTTTCAACCCTGAATCTGCCATGCATAACATGGAAGGAGTGCTTGACAGGTTACCAGATCCAGATGCACCTGATGCCAGAATACCTGAAATCCAACTGCCTAGATGCAAAAAACAAGCCTGTGGGGGACTCCTCAGACCATATGTTGTCTGGTTTGGTGAAGCTCTTGATCCTCAAGTATTAGATGCTGCTCGTGAGAAGGAAAAAAATATTTTGCTCTCTTATCCAGGCATGTTGAACTCTGGTAAATTCTTGATAACGCTTTTCCAGATGCAACCTTGGACACATGTGATCTATGCCTTGTTGTTGGGACATCTTCAGTGGTTTACCCTGCAGCCATGTTTGCTCCCCAAGTTGCACGGCGTGGAATCCCTGTGGCCGAGTTCAACATCGAACCCACTCCTGCCACTCACTCTTTTGGGTAAGATGTCATGGTCGATACTGTTGGGCTTACTGTTGCAGTAGAAAAAGACTCAGCTTCCATTTGATACTGATACCTGTAATCTCTTGAAGTCACACTCTTATTTCTTCCTTTACCGTGATTTCCTGTGTTCATCATTCTGCAATCATATTGTAGGGATTGTTAACGTTTGCGCATTTCCTTTCATAGGTTCTACTTTGAAGGTCCATGCGGACAGATGCTCCCAGAGGCCTTGGCTCCTTGAATCGCCGTGCTGTCTTGTCTTCACGATCCTTACGTGATGTCCTCATGTGATGGACACCAAGAAATTCAGTTGTAAATGATGATGACTGTGTGATTGGACTTGAGAGATTCAATCTGAGGCTTCTTTCCCTCATATCCTATTCTCTTTCGATTCAAGTTGGTTTGTTGTAATAGAGCTCTTCCGGTGTTTGGCATCGTTTTGGTTATATCTTCCGTATAATAATGAATTTGCTGTTTTTGCCCAAGGAGCTCTTTATTTTAATGCGAACGAGACTGGCATACGAAGACCTAATTTATTTGTAAACATATATAAAACTGGCGCTACAATCGTCACATCCATTCTTTTTATGGCGCGAGATGGCAGACGCAATGGACAAGCAGGCGATGCCTCAGTTGGCATAGGTCAGAAGCTGTGAGAAACTGCTTCATTCCTGCTAAAATTTCCTTCCACCCGGATGGTTGCTTGGGTCATTGAGAAGCAGGAAGAGTAGAGAAAGAGAGAAGGGGAAAGACGAGGAGATTAACCGAAGCGCTGGGTGGCGAGGAGGGGGGGAGGGGGAAACATTCCTCATCAATACCGATTAACTTTCCCTAGCACGATAGAAAAGGTCACGATCTCTTCGCTCATGTGGAACTCCCTCTTCCCACACGAAAGAAAGGTTCTCATTTGGTTATGCTGCCGTGTCTGCATCCGTGCGGATTTCATGTTGTTCTCCCGAACGGAACACGATTGAAGTCTAAAAAAAGTTGTTCCGATGGAACAGAATGATATGGAACCGGTTTATTCGTTCATGCACTCCCTTGTCGTGCACATGATCTGGTATCGAGGCCATAGACATGATGCTGAGCGGTCCTGTCATCTCTAGTATGAGTGCGTGGGTGAGGCTTAAAGTGATGGAAGTATGGAAGTCGGTCATTGCCTCCTAATGTTATTCCCAAATGTATCATTCGGACTGGAGAGTACGCCGAACATTCTCTCTCTCTTGTTTGTTTTTATTTCGGGGTATATAGAAGGGTTTGTTTCATGCAGTAATTCCCTTTCACCCTCTCCTCCCAGGAAAGATTTGGGAAATTTTCTTGGATCGCTGCAGTGTCCCAGAAAAGTAGAAAGTCTGTCGGGAGGAATTATTCACACCGGCATTAGAGATGATATCAGAAAGAGCGGAATCGACCTCTGTTCTTGTTCTGTCCCACTTCTTCCTCTTTTCTCTTTCCATATGCATTCATCCAATCTGAGGTCTCTCCCTCTTTCGTTCCTCAACTGGTTTGTGATTTCTCTAATAAAAGCAGGAGCATTGGTTGCCCTTGAGTTCCGTCACGTATCCGTTCAGTGGCGTATTTTGCCTGAAGGGTCGGGGGGGGGGGGGGGCAGGACCCCCCCCGGGGGATATTCGGGGGGCCCGCCCCCCCCCCCCCCCCCCCCAAAAAAAAAAACAATTGGCAGCATAATAAGGAATACTTGGAGCACTGTCTCTGAGCCTCCCGAATTTCTCAACAAATCGCCGCCTATGGCCCTACGTATTCTAAACCATTCGCATCAAATCCATTGGACGGGTCAAATAGTTTTGGACTTCGAAGCAGTCTAATTGCTTAAGATCTGCAATCTTTAATACGTGAGCTGCGAAAATTTTAAAGTAAATTGAAGTCTCCCTCATACGGAGAAAGTACGTCGCAAACGTGATTCATTGGAGAGCATTCATTGGAGGATGTCTTCCTCTGCTTCAAAAAAAGGGGGGGGGGGAAGATGAAATAAGCAAAGGAAAATAATAAAATGAAGTATTTGGAAAGTACGGCAGTGATTCATTTACCTAATTGCTTTTAAATTTTTCTGTAATTTCCTCGTGAACAAAAAGAGAATGAACGTGTCGTCCATTCTCTTTCACTCCGCGTGGCCATTTCACTTCTTTGCACTGAAGCTGATTTCAGCTCTTGAGTTTTCAGCTTTTCAGGAGTTGGCTTTTGAGAAGAGCTGCATCCTCATTCATGTCAATAGCAATTTTCCTCATTTCATATCCAAGCGAATACTAAAGGTGGATGGCTAAGGTTGCATTTCTCTGGACTTCGTTTCTCCTGGTTCAAAGCGCAAGAGTTTACAGGTATCAGTATCAAATGGAAGCTGAGTCTTTTTCTACTGCAACAGTAAGCCCAACAGTATCGACCATGACATCTTACCCAAAAGAGTGAGTGGCAGGAGTGGGTTCGATGTTGAATTTTGGGGGGGGGGGGGGGGGGGGGCCTGGAGGGCGAATGATCTTTTGTCACAGTAGTGAGAGGAGGAAGACAAGATCAGCCAGGTATCCTGGTCATAGAATTTCTCTTCTTTCTCTTCTCTGCTCCCCCTCCTTTTATAATGGAATACTGTCTCACGTTTACTTTCTCGAGATCCAGGTCGTTTGCACACGATACTGTGGGTGTGTTGCCGCTCACCCTTTTACAGTGTTATCGGTACGGATATATACGTTGTCTCCTCGTAGAGGACATGGTGACTCTCACCTGCTAACACTGCATTCGAGGAATTACCCGTATAAATAGAGTCATGGGAACAAAATTTCTCTGGCCTCGTCATGCTGACTTGACTCGCCGAACCTTGACGAATTACCAGGGTCACAGTGATACTTTGTGAAAGTCAGGGAATTAGGAGCTCTCACTTGAGATATTTTATCAAAAGCGTACCATCGCTCTTCCTCATTGCGATAACTTTATTATATTTAAGTCATTGCCTTTTCGCGCATTCATGTAGGCGAGAGGTGGTTCTGAGCCATCGTTCACACAGTGATGCATTCGATTAACCAAGGGGAAAGAGGCAATGGAGAGGCCTGAACTCCATCACTTCCTCTTCAGTACACATTCATTCGCGTGATTCCCTTCACTTCCGGAAGTATGCTCAAATTACTATATTTACATAGAAGATGGAATATTGAAAGAATTCCGACTCTAAAAAGTTCGGGAAATGAAAAACTAATAATGTTATAATTTGAGGTTTGTTTTTTGTTTATATCCGAACAACTATTTGATGGAGTCAAAGAAAAGGGTGAGTAGCGAGAAGGGGGGGAAAACAGAGCGGGGAAGGTCGAACGGGAAATAGGGGAGAAGGAGAATAAGGAAGGAGGAGAAAGGGAAGGAAGAGGAGAGGAGAGAAGCCGGTGAGCTTGCTTGCCCTGGCCTCATTGTTCAATCGAACATGCCCGAGTGCAGACAACACTCCTCTCCTCTTTTCCTTCTCCTCTTCTTCACTTAGGTGATATTTTATCTCTCGCTTTCTCGCGCTCTCTCTCTCTCTCTCTCTCTCCTCCCGCCTGTGGTCATCTCGTGATGCCAGGAGCGTCGTGCAGAAAACGGCCCGCACCGGACCCGCCGTCGTCATCGGTCTTGCCCAGATCCAGACCTGGTAGTACCGTTTATCGAATCAGCCTGTGCAACCAGGAGACGACGTTCGCAGGGACGATGAAGAATGAAGTCTCCGCCGACCAGATGTCTGCCGGTGCCGCCGACCACGGAGTCACTGTCATCAAGATCCCTGTGAACGAGAAAGACGAAGGATGTTCCACGGCCTCGACCACCACCATCGTGTCCACTTGTCAAGACTCGGGTTTCCGTGTGTACGTCCGGGATCCCTTCATGTCGGGTCGGGTGACGCCGGTCACGGACAGGGACAGTGGATTGAGTAGCCAGGGTACGACCCCTCCGCCGAAGAAACGGGAATCCAGTCGAAGCCCCTCCGAAGACAGTGATTCCGAGGACAGTTTCCCCGGACGAGGCATTATTCCCGACGAACTCTTGAAGGAAGTCAAGCAATTGGCCATCAAACTCCGTCCCGTGAATGTGCCTGAGGAAGTGGAAGGGAATGAAACGTCTGCGTCTTCGGCAGGATCATCCCCGTCCCCCTGCAATGGCACTCAGACTGACAGTTTCCTTTCCTCTGGAGACTGCTATTATGACTTCCATTTGTGCGAGAACTTATGTGAGAATGAAGCAGAAGGTTCCTCGAACTTCGCGGGTGCTCGGAACGTTTTCCAAAAAGAAGAACCGGAAGAGCCAATCAAGAGTACTCGGGGGACCGTACGGGGCGTGAAAAATCGCGTTCGAGCCGGCATTGCGGCCTTTCAAGAGTCTGACATCAAAAGAAAGGTAAGACTGCGTCTCCACTCTTTCTGTATTTTGGCTTTAAAATGAAGTACTACCGCCTCGTGTAAAGATTCAGCGAACGTCAATAGCGATAGGTTGCAATCGAGGGCAATGACTCCGGTTCGTGACTTATAAATGTCTTCTCCATTAGACTGGTGCCAAATGTCACAAATTTTCCTGCACCGTTACTTGAATGAGATGGCGCTTTGGCAGCATTCTACCCATGTAATTTATTCCGTCCTTTACAGCTATCATCTCGAAAGCTTCCGATCGCTCTTTCAAAAAAGTTATCTGTCATTTGGGATTATCCTTTAGCAGTACCAGTTTGATGGAAGAAGTCTGTTCCCATTGCGAATCCTACGCTGTACTTCATGTAATCTGTCTCCATTATTGGGCACACCGTACGGTTTTAAGGTGGGTCTTTTGTAGTGGGTAGTACAATACGTGTTTACACGAATTGGTGAAATGCTGGTAGAGCGGAGCAAATGACGAGGGGCCCCTGAACATGAGCGAACACGCCCCCCTTCCTCCCGCTCTCCCTGTTTCTTCTGTACGTGCTCTCGGAAGAGAAGAAAAATAGCCTCTGGGGGTTTTCCTCGGATCGTCCCGTTACGCGGAGGCGAGAATCAGCTGGTCGATGGGAAAGGAAGAGGGAGCCAAATACCCTTCTAATGCATCCATTTGCTGTGTACAGTATGAACAGTAGTGTACAACGCATTCCTTCCCATCACCATTCTCCAATCCCATCTCTGGATACGGTTGAATTGACACCTGGGACGACTCGCTATTCCTTGTCCCTTATGGCACCTCCTCCAGACACAGCAATCGTGCAATATCTCAAGAAAAATGAGGGCCAATTAAATTCATCCTTCCGAATGGTGTTTGTGTTACAAGGCACCTGACTTCATGTCCTCCGGTCGTTACAT